CTCAGAAAATTTTGGAAGAAAGTCATTACTTCTTGATGACCTGTTTTTAATTCCATAGTGGAATTAAAGGGAAGAGTGAAATAATTGCACCAATTGCTCCTGACTTGGTTGGTTAGTGGGGAAAGTCAGAATCACCAAAGGCAACCTAAATAAGTTTCCTAAAATATCTTGAACTCACCTGCCTGTGAAGTAAAGGTAGGTAACAGAGCCTGGTGCACTTTCATCAGGGCGACATTGACTGTGAAAGATGCTTTAGTATGCCAAAGGGAGATAAATACTTTCTTAAAACCTTAAAGGAATACTGTAAAGTATAGGAAAGTCCTTTAAAACTCTAATTTCTGTGGTCTGAACCTGTGTACTTAGCTGCCTGCTTGATATTTCTTCTAGTATATCTCATAGACATTGCAAATTAAGCATATGAAAAAATGAACCCTTGATTCCCCCTTGTCCCTTATGAATCTGTTCCACATCTGGCCTTCTCCATCTCAATAAAGGGCACTTGTGACTACCCACATGTTCATTCTAGAAACCTGGCAGACTTCCCTACAAGGCTGTGTGGCCCATGCCTGCCTTTCCAGGCACATCTCTCCCTGCCTTGTGCTGTTTCAGGTTCACTCGCTTTCATAACCAGTGCTCTCTACTGCCTCTGAGCCCGCAACTGTGCTTACTGCTCCCTGTGCCTGGAACACGCTCCCTCTCCCTCTTTTCTTAGTTTACTTGTTAATTTGTAACTTTAAGTAATTTAGTTAACTTGTCCTTTAAGTCTCAGCTAAAATATCCTCTGAGAGCCCCCAATGTAAATTGGTCTGCTGTTATTCTTTTAGTGTGTGTGTGTGTGTGTGTGTGTGTTTTCCTTCATAGCCCTAATAATGCTTTGTAACTATATATAATATTTGTGTAAACTTGTTAAAAATTCCCTCCCTACCCTCCCACCCCCAACCCCCCACTGTAAGCTCTGAGGTCAGGGACCTGTGCTGTCTGGCACTGCTGGTACCCAGTGAAGCAAACCCCTAGCACATAATAGGCTCTCAATAAATATTTGTGGAAGGAACAACTGAAAGTATTTTAACTCGTTTAATCTTCACAACAATCCTGTGGGAGGTATTATTATTATCTCATTTTACACAGGAAGAAAATAAAATTGGGATTAAATATCTTGCTCAAGGTCACACAGTAGGTGGCAGAGCAAAAACTCAAAGTCAGGTTTTCTTTTCTGACTGTAAGCCTAATATGTATTTTATTATATGTATGCATATATATAACCACATTTGTAGGAAAAATACCATAGACTACTGCTTGGAGTTCTTAGATAAAACAGCGTGCATCGTGAGTCTTGATAAGGTGTAAGGGAAGAATGAATGAGGGGCATGTCACTCAGGAAATCAGAAAGTAAAAGCACAAAGGTTTTAAAAGAAAACTTGGTAAAACAGAAAAACAGGGAGTTTATAATCACACAGACGTGGATTGCATTCCAACTAGTTGTGTGAACTGGGCTAAGTTGGGTGAATGTTTCTTTGCTTGAGTTTCCCCACCTCACGATGGGAATAATAGGCTATTGCAGTGAGATAACGTGTAAAGTGCCTGGCACTTTGTAGGAATGTAGTAAGTGCTAGTTGTTTTTCTTCCTTGGCTTCTGTTCCTTTAAGTGTTAGTGGAGTTTAACTTCAAAAAGAATTGCTCTTTTCTTGGGAATGGGCTGCTTATATATTGAATAGACTACTGTTTTTGAGAGTCCTTTTTTTTTAACTACATCCCTTTTAGAGAATTGTTACAATAACCTTACTCTAGGAGACCAGCCAGAACCATGAAATGCTGGGTTTCAAATTACTGTTAGAAGTAAAGCTGGACAAGAGAAGCTGATTTTTCAGAGGAAGAGCTAAACACACTGGAACATGATCACAGAATCTTGGATGTAGTCTATTGTTGGGATTAACAAGAGAATTTCATCAGTGAAATCCTAATTCACTACACTTAGTTTTTATCAAGTTCCTCTTAAGATATAGTTCTAGGTGCTATGGGAAAAACAGGTAGATATGCAGTAGTGTTGTTTTCAAGGAGTTTGTAATGTTGTAGGGAAGGTATTACAAGTGCGTCAATCATAGTAGACTGAGGCAGAGTGTAGTAACATGCCATGAGAGGAACAAAGAAAGTGCTGTGAGTTTCAAAGGAAGTAGAAGCAACTTGTGCCTGAAATATGCAAGGAAGGGTTCCCAGGGATGCCTCATTTGACTTGGACCTTGAAAGATGGGAGAAAGTCGTTGAGGTGGAGGGAATCCTTGAGCAGAGATGTGTATAGAGAAAAGTACTGGTACATTTGGGAACAACCAAAGCCCATAGTGGATTCTAGGATGCATCTAGGGGTTTGTGTTTTGAGACAAGTTTGGAGTCTTGGTTTCACAGACTGCAGGGCCTAGATGGTTTTGGTTGCCTGGCATAGAAGTCTGATGGGGAGAGAAGCCTTTGAAGACTATGTTTTATAGAAATTGCTCAGTTTGATGATTTAGGAGAGGAGACCACATATACCTCAGTCCTTCAGTCTCAAACATTTGGTGAATGCCTATGATGTAACAGACCGATAACACAATTCCTGCCTTGGGGAGCTTATAACTTAGTAAAGAGAAACAGACATGTAAAAAACTAAGTTTGCTAAAGTGTTACAGGATTTAAGACAGAATTCTGCTCAGGATTCAATAGAACACAAAATTTAGAGGATTTTAATCATTGTTGCTAGTTGTAAACTTCTTACTGGTTAAATCAAAAATACAAGGTGGGTAATTTTCCTTTTAGGAAAGACCTAGTACTTATGGAAGTTTGCATCATTTATCTATTGACTATGGGTGAATAAATTCTGATACTATTTATGCTGTCTATATTACATGTCTCATTTTGGTATCCTGGCAATGTATCCTGATTGAGACACAGCCATGCTCTCTCTGGCCCCCTCATGGACCCAACCCTATAAAGCCTTTGATAGGAGGTCCCACCACCAAACCCTGCACTAGCGCATGGGCCTTTCTGTCAGCTCAGAACCAGTTGGAATTTTTAGATCTCCTTTTGGGCTGTTGGAGAACACTTGGGGACTTCCAGAGTCTTCACATGCTTGAACCTTCGTGGAACGCTCTACCATCTTGGGGTGAGATGCACCACTAAGTTGCTGCTGGGAGAAATTCCACATGGAAGCAGGACACAAGTTCATATTACTCTCTGGTCACCCAACATGAAGGGAAATCCATCATTCTGCCCCTATCCTAGGATTCCGCCTCAGGAGGTAGGGGCAGGAACTCTTTACCATAGTAGTATTTAAACTTTATTCTTTTCCAAATGGCTCCACTCCTCCTTGGCTGGAGGTATCCTTTAGTTGGTTCCTAGACAAAAAGGCAAAAAAACAGAACAGACCTGTTCTTCCTGTTCACATCTCCTTTCTGTCTCATCTGGATGGTGCCTTTTGAACTGGGATTATGAAGCCTCCGAGACTGACTGTCTTTATTGTGTATGTATTCCTTCTGTTTAGCCTTCAGATCCACTCCACAGGGGAGGAGGAGGTAGGTACCTTTAATTCTGTGTTTGGCAAGGGAGCAGGATGGAGAATGAAGGGTGGGGGAGAGCACATCAGCCATTGCCTTGGAGTAGTATCCCATACCCTGGGTTCAAGGATAAGGCCAGGGTTTGGCAAGGATTATGTTGGAAGTTCTCAACCCTGGCTCCTCAATAGAATCTCTGGGAAGTTAAAAAAAAAAAAAAAAGAAAAAGAAATTGATGCCCTCACCTCATCACCATAGATTCCAGTTTAATTGTTGTGAATAGGGATCCAGGCATCAGGAATTTTAAAAGCTTCTTAGGTGATGTAATATGGATCCAGAGTTGAGAACCACTGACATTTTACAGAAGGAGAATCCCATGTACTACTGTCACTTTGAGGGATCCACATCATAGGGTTACATTGTAGGGTTTTGTCTAGGAGGCAGAGGAGTTTGAGGAAATTAGGGACAATTTCATGAGCTAGTCCTAGTAGGGGTCTCTCCTGGCAAACACCTGTTAGAAAGGCATGTATGCTTAAGAGAAAAAAAGAACTATGCTTGACTCTTGGGGCATGGATTGCCAACTCCCTTAAAACTTAGATTGCTTTTAAGTCTCATGGCCTTTAAAGTGCAAAATATGGTCTGCAGCATGACTCCATCATGCTTTGAGCATAATCTTGGAGTTATTTCCCTCCTTCCTTGCGAATAACCATTCTCCATCAAGTCCTCTAGGGGTTCCCTTCTGTCCATCAATTGCCCAAACAGCCTTACACCGTCTCCCTTTATGATTGAGCTCCTGACCTGGTTTGCTTTACCTGAGATGGGTTTCATGCCCTCTTTCACTTCCAAATCTGAACTATCTTTCCAGGCCACAGTCAAATGCTGGTCTTGTGTGAAGTCATCCCATAGTCACTGCAGCCAGAGTCACTCACTCTCTTTGGAAATGTTATTCCATTCTCCCCTACACCCTCTTTTATAGTTATTCACGAAATACTCCATACTTTCTAAGTTGTGTTTTATTATTTGTGCATGAATGTTTTCTGTCTTCCAGATTTCAAAGTTCTTGAGGGTGGGGTCTGTGTCTTATGTATTACTATATCTCACACAGTGCTCGACACACAACCTTCTGTGTAGCAGGCATTCAACATATATTTGTTGGATGATTGTAAGAGAGATCCAGGTGATTGATATATTTGTCACAAACTACCGGGAAAATCCCATAAACTCTTTAAGCCATTCCTGCCTACATAAATAGTTAACATTTGGCCTGACGACTTGACAGAGACACCGATGTTACTAAAGGTTACTGTTATGGATACTTACCCTTTTTCTTTCCTTGCTACCCAGCATCCAAGTTTATATCTATATCCATTAATGCTGGGAAGATAAATTCTGAAATTATGGTGTATATGCTGTAAAATCTTAACATTTTAGTGACTTTTACTTTTTCTTTCCTTTTTTGCTTCTATACATTTGTGCCACTGGGTAGTCTGAGCAAGAAGATGGTGTCTCTGCCACTCAAATGGCCACTTGCAAGCATGTCATTTCTATTTTCCTCACTGATGACTCTCTTAACCATGTCAACACCTTCCTGGTGTCAGAGCAGTGAAGCTACATCTCCAAAAGCTAGCAATGGAACACCATTTCCTTGGAATAAAATGCGACTTCCTGAGCATGTCATCCCAGTCCACTACGATCTCATGATCCATGCAAATCTCACCACACTGACTTTCTGGGGAACCACGAAAGTCGAAATCACAGCCAGCCAGCCCACCAGTACCATCATCCTGCATAGTCACCACCTGCAAATATCTAAGGCCATCCTCAGGAAAGGAACTGGAGAGAGGCCATCTGAAGAGCCGCTGCAGGTCCTGGAATATCCACCTCATGAACAAATTGCACTTCTGGCTCCAGAACCTCTCCTTGTTGGCATCCCATACACAGTAGTCATCGACTATGCTGGCAATCTTTCTGAGAATTTCCATGGATTTTATAAAAGCACCTATAGAACTAAGGAAGGAGAAGTGAGGTAATTTTTTTTTCTGGTTTTTTTGTTGTTGTTGTTTTTGAGATCCAAGTGTTGCCCACAGTAAATTTATTATTTCAAATGGATTGTGTTTTAAAACTCCTTTTATGGTTTAACTCTCCAGTTTTGCTTTTGCATCTTTATAGAGACTCAAAAATGTACTACTACAAAGTAGTACAGAATGGTGGCTTAAAACAACAGAAATGTATTCTCTCACAGTTCTGGAGACTACAAGTCTGAAGTCAAGGTGTGGGCAGGGCCATGCTCCCTCTGAGACTCTGGGTGGAATCCTTTCTCACCTCTTCCTGGCATCTGGTGCTATGGGTCCTGGCACCTCTTGCCTTGCAGCCGCACCACTCCAGTCTCTGCCTCTGTTGTCACATGGCTATTCTCCTTTGGTCTCTGTGTCCACATTTCCATCATGTGATAATGATGCCAGTCATATTGGATTAGACCCCAGCCTGATAGCTTCATTTCAACTTGATTACATTTGCAAAGATCCTATTTCCAAGGAAGGTCACTTTCACAGACACTGGGGATTAGGCCTTCTACATATTATTCTGGGGGGACACAATTCAACCCATAACAGCTCACTAGAGGAAATATTTTTCTCTCGGTTAAAACTTTTTTAGAGATCCCCATCTGCCTTGCTTTGTTTCTGTTTTTAAGGAGAGGACTTATTTGGGGGAAATTTTATGCTGAACTTTAAAATCAAATTTTCTTTTTTGGTAGATCATACTAACTTGTTTTTCTGATTCCATATTATTTGATTAAGGTAAAAAAGCCAGATGCTACCAAAGTAATTTTTTGAAAAGTAAAATTTATCACAATCATAGGCCCCAGAAATAACCACCACTTCTATTTCAGGGGAACATTTTTCCAGACTTCCATCTGGATGTGTATACACATTATTTTATGTAAATGGAATTGTTATATTTTCTGTTTTACAAGGGAGTTTTTTTAACTTTATGTGTTGGGAAGATGTTTCATATCAATGACTATCACTACACATCATTTAAATGACTTTATTAAAATATGTTTGTACATTAATTTATTTAATCCCATGTGGATGGATATTAAATTGTTTCCAACTTTTCAGTACCAGCGACAGTTTGATGAACATCCTCATAAATTATTTCTTTAGAATAAATGCCTAGAAATAAAACTGTTAAGGTTCTACAAACTTTTGATATTCCTTGCTATATTTCTTTATCCCTAACCAATACTGTGTATTGGCAATCGTTTTAGAGCAAAAGGGCCCAAAACTGATATCTCTCATTAGTGTTCATTTCTTTGATTAAGGAAGTTGAGTAGCTTTTGGTATGTTTATTAACAATTTGTAGGCTCTTTAGTGAGTTGCCTGTTTATGGCCTTTGCCAGACATTCTGCTTGGTTGTTGGATATTTTCTTATTAATTTTTAAGAGCTCACTATCTGCTAAGGCTAGTAACTCTTCTTCAAAAACTTTTCGATAGGGCCGGCCCGGTGGCGCACTGGAGAGTGCGCTGCCTGGGAGTGTGGCGGCGCTCCCGCCGAGGGTTTGGATCCCATGTGGAGACCGGTTCCTGCTCACTGGTTGAGCGTGGTGCGGGTGCAACACCGAGGGTTGCGATCCCGTTGCCGGTCCCTGGTGTGGGCACGACACCGAGGGTGCGATCCCGTTACCGGTCAGTAAAAAAAAAAAAAAAAAAAAAGGAAAAAAAAAAAAAAAACTTTTCGATAAAATTTCCCAGTTTTTTAACTTGACTTTTAGTTTATAATAGGTTTTTTCATATAAAATATTTTTTTAGAGGTGAAATCTATTAATCTTGTGGTAATTTTAGGAATTAAATAGCAAACACCCATTTTAGAGGCTCTGGTTCTTCATGCTCAATTTTTATTTCACCTGCCATAATTGCAGGATACTTGCATCAACACAGTTTGAACCTACTGCAGCGAGGATGGCCTTTCCCTGCTTTGATGAACCTGCCCTTAAAGCAAGTTTCTTAGTCAAGATCAGAAGGGAGCCGAGGCACCTGGCCATCTCCAACATGCCGCTGGTGAGTCTGAACTCCTGTGTATCTCCTCACAGAAAATCTGTTGATTCCCTGTGACTCAGATTACTCCAATGACAGTTTATATTCAGGTCACCTGTTTTGTTTGTTTTATTGCCTGACAGTTGCTAACTTTTCTTTTTCATTTTCAACCGATGCTTTTGTTTCAAGCCACAGTTATTTGTAGCTAAAGAAAAAAATTGTCTCTCAAAAATGCAAGATTTCAGTAAGAGTGACATCTCAGGTTATCAGTGCTGATAGGACGGAAACTAAGGAATTCAGGTCAAGTTTAAATGACAGTGCCCTTCACAAAGCACTTTATTGCTTATTTTCTCAGATGATCTTTTAAAAGGATTTTAAAGAGAATTCTTTGTTGAATATGACCATATTTCAAATATATAGTTATATTTTATAATTTCTACATACATAATTAACTATACAATTTATTACTATATGTACAAATTTGGGTAGAAAGAAAAAGAGAAGAAAAGTAATCTTTTCAGAATATTACGGTGCTGAAAGTAAGTAATGGTAGGTAGCTTAGTTCCCTTAAGAGAAATCATTGTTCTCCAATTTCAAAGCTGATGTAGACAGGATTCCCTCTTCTTTTTAAAAGAGGCAAGAAGATGACCATGCCAAGTGAATAAAACCCCTCATTAAGTGCCATTATGCTATGATTCTGGTAACTTAGAAAAGCATCAGTTGGGCTTCCGTTCTACAGCCGGTGTGTCCTAACTCCTGGAAACACATCCTTTTTTCAGAGAAGCTCACTGTGGATGAGACTCGGGGTGCAATAGGCTATGCTTAGAGTCCTGAAGGGTGTCCAGCTTTCTCCCTGTGCTGACCAAGGAAGCAGTATCACAGCATGAAGGGACTCTGAGAGCCACAGCCCACCCTCTAGTACAGTATTTCTCAGCCTTTAAAACTCTATACCCCTTTTTGAATACCTTATCCCTTCCTCAAACAAGATTCTGTCCCCTTCCCCACCCCCAGAGTACTGTCCCCTATAAAAAGCACTCTTCTGCAAATCCCTACCGGCCAAGAAATTTTGTCTCTGCTCACACTTTTGTATATGAAAAGACAAGAAACAATTATGCTATTTTCCTAATATAAATTCGAGCTACAAAATACACTTTTTCAAATTATAGTCCTCTCCCTCAATATTATGATATTGTTCCCTGGGACAGGAGTGGATTCTTTAATTAGAGAATCACAACTTAAAGAGAATAAAGGAACAGGGATGGGATAGAGATGTGAGAGAGACTGAAGGACCAACCAAGATTAGTAGAGAAATTTGTAGACTTGCAAAGGGAAGGCCATGAGCTCTAGAAGCTTCATGAGGATGCTGGAGTCTTAATCCATGGATGTCCATGATCCACTTGTTGAGGAGAAGAAAATCTCTAATGTGGTCTTGCCCCTTGGACAGGAAAGTCTCACACTGGCAGAAATCTAATAGGAGTGTCCTGACCTGAGGCTGCAGATGTGGAGCTGAGGGGAAGGACAATGGGTCTCCAAGGATCTTTTTGAAGGCTGGAAAAGCAAATATATCATTGGAACATTGAAGTGTTTGGGCAGTGAGAAGGAGTTAATCACATTTAAATTTGAGTTAGTTTAATCAGGTTACTTTCCTAATAATTAGCACAACATCAGGAATGGAAATTTTGGTTAAGGGTGGATAGAAGACATTTCAAAGGAAAAAAAAAGGGGATTCATTCAGAGCAAACCTACGTTGGTGAGCAGAGTTGGTTGAATGACCAAAGGGTGAACAGCAGGCACTTAGCTGGTGGTTGGTGGGTGTGAAGGATAAGGGCACAGAAACAGAGGAGGGAATGAGAGTACAGGAAAAATGCCTCTTAGCATGATTTTCCCCAAGCTAGATCTGGCTGGTTCTTTCTCCAAGATCCTGCCTCAATACTTTCTGTTGCTGAAGTATTAGACTTTCTTTTTTGGATGCAGATTTCTTAGAATGTTCCTCCAGTTACCCCACCCCACCTGCAAGGCTACTCCCTGATTGCACATATAAGCTGATTCCAATGAAGCAAATCTGAGTTTGGAAGAGGCTTTTCAGGATCAGGCCTAGGTATATGTTACTTTCAATTGTATAGAAAAACAGAAGCTATTTTTAGGTAGTACACAGATATGTATTTGCCCAGTATAGTGTCCATACCAGATATTGCATTTCTAGATCATTCTTACACTTGTATTTGAGGACAGGTGGACCACATTTTGGCAAAACCAGCACTCTCAGTTTTGCTTTGTCCAATCCGTGTTATCAATTCACATGTACCAAATATGAGTCAGTTTGCAATCATATGGGTTATTTAAAAGAAAATGAGTGTTGCTGGTTGCATTTTATGAACATACTGAAAACCACTAAATTGTATTCTTTAAATGATGAATTTTATGATATTTGTATTATATATCAATAAAAAATTGAGTAGAATGGCCTTAATGCCATAATTACAATTAGATATTAAAAAGAGAGCTTTTCAAGTAATTATAGAAATGTCATGCCATATACCTTCAATATTATGTCTTGTAATTAGGAAATTTCTTTTTATTAAATATGTTCAGTGTGTTAGATAATTAGATTACTTGATAATCTGAGTTATTCTGATTTTAGGTGAAATCTGTGGCTGTTGCTGAAGGACTCATAGAAGACCGTTTTGATGTCACTGTGAAGATGAGCACCTACCTGGTGGCCTTCATTATTTCAGATTTTGAATCTGTCAGTAAGATGACCAAGAGTGGAGTCAAGGTGAACCTATGGCTGTCACATAGGGTGACCAACTTGTCCTGGTTTGCCTGGTTGTCCTGATTTTAAAACTGGAAGTCCTGCATCCTGGGAATCTCCTCAATCTTGGCCAAACCAGGATGTTTGGTCACCCTATTGTCTACATGGCCATTTTTGCAGTGAGTTTCTAATAACAAAGACATGGAGAGAGAGCGTGGCCTGTCCAGAGTCGTGATCCTGGCTCCACCACTTTCTGGCCCTCGCCTTGGCCCTGCTCCCTCTGGAACTTAGTTTATACTTCTTTAAAATGTATAAGTTGGACTAGATCCTGCAATGGTTTCTTAGGTTGCTGCTGGTTATAACTTTCTGCGGTTCGGAAGTAAATATTACAGACTGTCTGAGCAGGGGATTTCTGACTGTGGGAAGGAAGTAAGATAGGGCAACCAGCTTGGAGGAGCAAGAGACTTTGGGGAGAATATCTGAGCCAGGCAATACTGAAATATTGGAGAGAAAGATCTTGTTTCAGGGAGCACTTGCTCCTCCTCCTCTGGGTACCTTTGCATAGTAGACAAACTGTACACCTGTGTGCTGTGGCTGAGAATGCAAACAGGTATTTTCTGAGTGGAGAAAGGGACACTTTATTTGAAGACACCTCATGTATTTGTGTTGGTTTTCACTGAGGCCTGAAAAGATGGGGCTTTACTGAATTGCCTTTTGTTCCTCTAATGCTGAGGTTTCTTATCCTTGTGGAGATTTCTTTATTTACCTGGGTATCTGAAAGTGATGCTTGAGACTTGGATGAAGGAGACACTCTCAATTCAGTGGTGAAACTATCAGCAAAAACATCTTCCCATTGCTTTGCCCACTTTTCTGAATCTTTTAGAAATCGGTATTTCTATAATATCTAATTTATACTAATATTTTAGTTTTCTTTTATTTCTTTAATCACATTAAACATTCTTATTTTATATTCTATGTCTGGGGATTGTCATATCTGAAATCCTGTGTATCTGATTCTGTGGTTTGTTGTTTCTGGGGCTCTTGCTCATACTATCTTACTTCTTTGTGTGTACTGTGAGTTATGTAGGTAAACTTGTATTGCCTGAGCCAAAAGTGGATTCTTCCAGAGAGAATTTATATCTGCTCCTACAGGGTGCCTGGGAGTACTTTACCAGTTCAAGGACCACTTTAATTTATCAGCTTCAGGGTTTTGGATCACCTAGTTATTGTGAGTTCAGCTGCTACACACCGTGAAGGTTAGCTTTTAGCTACAGATTTTCTAAAGAGATTCCCCCATTCTCCTCTATAGAGTACTGAAGTTTGAGTAAAGCATTTTTTTTTTTTTTTCTTGCAGTTTCCTTGAGAAAGGAGTGGTTATTTCTAAGGCGTGCCCTTGGGGGTCCAGCTTTATGCAAGGGTTGTATCTCCCATTAGGCTTATCACCTTAGGCAGTTCTCAGACTTTGTTTCTTATCCTCTGAGTCTTTCAATGCCGTGAGAACCAAACGTCAAGTCCACCTGTGTTTGGCTAGTGCCCTCAGGGCAAAAAACAGCTGCAGTGCTCTGCTGACTTCAGAAGGCCCACCTGTCACTTTAGTTTTGACCTCTGTGTTCCTTTCTTTTTTGCTACCTTATGAACACATTGAAGAAGACATTTTTATATATGTTATCCAGCATTTGTAGTTTTTAGAAGGGGGGTCGATCAGGAATAGTCAGCATTAATACAAGAAATTGAATTCCCAATTATCATCTTTAACATTGGCAACCATATCCCAGATTAAGAAACCATTAATGTCACTCTTCTGTACAATTGTGGAGAGAAACACTATGATATTTGAGTAACTTTCTTGTGCATTTCTCTTTAGGTTTCTGTACATGCTGTGCCAGACAAGATAAATCAAGCAGATTATGCACTGAATGCTGCCGTGACACTTCTAGAATTTTATGAGGACTATTTCAGCATCCCATATCCTTTACCCAAACAAGGTAGAGATTTTACACAGATGTTGCAATGTGGCATTTGATGGCCCCAGTCATAGATTATACCCTCATGTTCCCATGGTTCTCAGCAGCCCCTCAAGTCATAAAAATCCCAGCAAGTGTCAAACATCGGGTTGATCCTTGTGAGCATCTCCTCACCCCTGATCTGTACCATAAGCTTCTAACGATAATGAAAGCAGATCTTGATACAGTTCCTGAGGCGCATGGCATAGGGACCATTTTGCCTTCTAATTTTATTAGTGAGTGGACAGCAGGGGGCAGAGGCTGCATTATTTTCATTATTGGCACATGCGTGGCAGTGACATAGAGGGCTCTAATAAACATCTTTTGAATGAATACATTTACACAGTGTAAGAAAACCTGCATTTTTCTTTCATATGTGAGCTCTTAAAAACTGTTGTGTGTTTGAGTTTTTATGTATATGTGGGTCTTGGGCATCCAAAATAGAGTGGATTATTGAGGTAATTGTTGAGATTATTCAGTTCCAAAACTTTTTTCCAGAAAGTTAGAAATGGAGTCAAGAGGTGTGAGACACAAGTCTGACTTTGTCATGTTAGTAGCAAAGTGACTCTGAGTCACTGAGGCCCTTTTTCTCCATTGTGAAAGGCTCTTCCAAAAGTCTAGAGCTCCATATTTCTACACAGGCAGCTTAGCTTTTCTTTTGGTCCTAACACTCATCCATTCTGAAGTTTAGTGTGTTTAAGAGAATGTGTAGCTTAGAGATTGGTAATATATTTTTTTTACTTCCTTTCCAAGATCTTGCTGCTATTCCTGACTTTCAGTCTGGTGCTATGGAAAACTGGGGACTGACAACATACAGAGAATCTTCTCTATTGTTTGATGCAGAAAAATCTTCTGCATCAAGTAAGCTTGGCATCACAATGACTGTGTCCCATGAACTCGCCCACCAGGTATACAAGCTCAGTCACATATGTTAGAAGTATAGTTAACTTACATTGATATTGCTTTTATGGGACATATGAGGCTAATTTTTACTTTGTCTTTATTCTCATTAGAAAATTTATTCTTTAAAGCATTAGGTTTCATGTTTTATAATGCATATTGAAAGGTTTTTATTTTTACTTTGATAAAATATTAATTTTATAAATATATATTAGCATTTATAAATGGCATTAGACTTCTAAAACACATTTCTTTCTGAATGTCTTTAGTTTATGGCTGCCATTATAGATAATAAATAAGTCAGTTTCCATAGAAATGTGTGAATAAACTGAATAATGTTTTCCTTTCAGTGGTTTGGGAACTTGGTCACTATGGAATGGTGGAATGATCTTTGGCTAAATGAGGGATTTGCCAAGTTTATGGAGTTTGTGTCTGTCAGTGTGACCCATCCTGAACTGAAAGTCGTAAGTAGTAGTAATTTTTTTACATTTTAGGTTAATCTGTTGTTTTGCTCAATGTTGGTGGAAAATGTTTACTAATCTCTGATTATAGAATTCATAGAAAGATTTCATTGGTAACTTCCTTGGGAGTTTAGATATGAAGTATAATTCAAAAATGTTAGTGAACTTTCAAGACATATTACAAAAACTTATTTCCAGACTCAATTGTGAAACTATGATTACTATGAAATTAAGTGTTAAATTGTGTATTCCTTTAATATCAAAGAAATGTAAGTAATGGCAGCCTGAATGTTCCATATCATTTCCCCAACCTTCAGGTTGCTCATTGCAGAAGTGTTTGGTACAGATTGCTATTATTTAAATAGGACCCTACTTGCCAAATCAAATGAATTATGCTTAAGGTAACTGCATATTTGATTGCATATCCACCTGGACACATGGGTCACAGTTTTAATGCTTTGGAACTGCTATATGTTGATTTTAAAAATTGCATGTTTAACTTAAAGAAATCACGTACAACAAAATTAAAAATAAACTTATTCTATATAAAAAATTCTTTACTACAACATTTCTTTTCATTTATGAACATTTGTTATTTCCCATTTCATCTGCCTGTACACATAATTTATACATAGTTATAATTATGAATTATAAATTATACTACTACAATGGATTGTAAATATTTTCCTATGTTTCTACATAATCCTTAATGATAAAAATGATTATAGATGCATATTATTCTATTGAGTTAACGTGCCCTAGTAAAGCAGGTTAAGGTTAGAATTTGTTCTCTGCTTTTTTTTTTTTAAACTACACGATTTTAAAGCTAAATATCTTTGTTTTAAAATAGTGCAAATGATGAATGGAAATGTTGAAATCACTATACATTTTAGCTTCCTATTTTGTTGATGTTTGGCTATAGTTGTAATGGTTTTGTTTTTAAGTTAATATGAAATTTTCTTTATTCTAAAGTGATAAGTATTTAAGATGAACAAAATCTAAAATGTTTACCTAAAATCATTGTTTCTCAGATGCTCTTTAGATAGTAATTCCATTTGTTTTCATAAATACTAGAAATATGGAATAGGTTGGCCTGGAAATTTGAAGTATAGACCTATTATTCTAGATCAAACCTTACTACCTTTATATTTTTATCTAAATGTAAAACATAGGTGATATTTTCTTTTTTCTGTCTCAATAGGAAGATTATTTCTTTGGCAAGTGTTTTCATGCGATGGAGGTAGATGCATTAAATTCTTCACACCCTGTGTCCACGCCTGTGGAGAATCCTGCTCAGATTCGGGAGATATTCGATGATGTTTCTTATGAAAAGGTAAAAGTGGATCATAAGGGTATAGTTTGGACACTAAACTTATAAATACTGGGGTGGACAGGTTATCGGCAAGGGTGTGGGGTAGTTTTCCCTTCGTGAGGAGTAACCAGATTGAATGCCTCCTATCCTGACCCATGCTGGCTGGAGTTCACTTTTTTTGGCCTAACTTGCAGTTTGGCTCATAATCGTAGTGAGTATATTATGCTCAGTTCCTCATTTACTCTTTCTTGGATTGAAAATTCAGGCCTACAGAAATTCTGCCTTGCATTCATCATTCAACAAATGGGTATTGGCTGAGCCTCAACTTTGTACCAGGCAAATATTCCTGCCCTTGTGTAGCTTACCTTTCAGGGTCTTCAGAGACAGTTTATATTGTTGAACTGCAAAGTATTGTACTGAACAATTTGTTTCATGACAGAGTTGCAAACTGTTGCCAACACTGAATGATTATAGAGGTTTTATATAAAAGCCTGGATTTCTGGCTTCTCTGGGAGGGGAGGGAAAGGAGGATTTGGCCAAACAAATTTGGCCTGTATTTTCTTTGGCAACATATGCTGGAGCTAAGTAGTGGCTCCTTTATAAGACTAAGGTTGTGCTTCTCCACTTCCCCTAACATTCCCAACTGTTTCTATTGTCTTCTCACTGAGGCTGGGAACGTGTTGCCGTTTATGTTATGCTTGGCCGTTTTACTTGTAGCAAACAGAAAAGTAGTTCTTGCTAACATGTTTCCATCAAAAATGCAGGGGAAAAATGTAAAAGAGCATCCACCTTATCTTGGAGTACTTCATTTATGTCACCTGTCCTATGTCACTGGAGGTATTTGAGTTTGTGACCCACCATCCATGGCATGGGAGTGCAGAGGAAAAGAACACTGTATGCAGGAAGACAGAGAATCTGGGAACTCTCTTGCTCCCTTTCTCATTGTTACTGTAGCCCCCTCAGCCCTGTGTGCTCAAGGCTGCCCTGTACTTACCCTATTCCTTACCTGGCACCCACCTCTGCTCCTGTCTCTAGTGCTCCACCCAGTGTTGCACCTATCTTTCCCCACTCCTGCCTCCAAGTAGCAGTGAGAGAGCCAGGTGATAGTTCGAGATCTGATATTTAATCTGCACCCTTGTCTACTTAAGTGTGAATAAAGGGAGCTGGCATGTGATGCTAATTTGCCTCACGGGGAGACTTGGCTCCTGATAGAAAATAACGGCCCAGTGGGCTAAGAGCATAAACAATCACGTTAGATAAATCCCCCGCCTAGACAGGTCTAGGTTTAACCCACCTTTTCTGTTTCACAAACTGCCTGACATTAAAAATGTTACTGCGGTTGCATTTTTTAAATCGAGACATAATTGATCAGACATATTCATGGGGTACAGAGTTTAGTATCAATATCTTCATACAATACGTGATGATCAAATCAGGGTAATTAGTGTACTCATCTTTACAAAATGTAATCATTCTTTGTGACCCTTAATCAATTTCTCACTAATCCCGCTTTCTTTCCCCCTTTCCCATCTCTAGTAACCACAGTTCTGTTCTCTCCTTTTGAAAGTTCAACATATTATTGAGATTCATTCTTTCTTTTTTCCATCCTCCTTTTCTTTCCTTTCCTTTCCTTTTTTTCTTTTTTTCTTTCTTTTTTCATTTTTTATTGAAACATAATTGATTATACATATTTGTGGGGGTACAGAGTTGACTGTCAGTATCTGTGTGCAATATGTAATTGTGGAGTATGCATAAAGCAAATGTACTTCACAGGGCCTGGTTTTCCAAAGCCTTGTCGTTTCAAATATTGACCTTGCAAAGGACAGGAAATTTTCCTCAGGCTATAGTCTCTGTTGTAAGATAAAGAATTGTAACACAGCAAGGTTGCTGGCTCAAAGGACAGACAGGTTACTGATTGATATGTAAAGATACTGAGAAATTGCTGTAAGAAGAGAATGTTTGCTAAAATCAAGTTTTTGTTGCAAATTGCATTATGGAATGTCACCTTGCTTGTCTAACTGAATGTTACCAGCTTCTATTGTTAAACTTGTTAAACTATACTTAGCAAAAACCCCACCTATGTTCTTTTCTTGTAACTTCCTGGTCTGAAGAATAAATGCAGGAAGAGAATCCCAATTCGTGGTTAATTTCCCAAATGGAAGGAATGCCTCTATCTTGAGGGTTCTGGTAGATTAACCCCTTTTTGGGGCTTCTCACTGCTCAGAAGAGATGGGCTTTGAGTAATCTTTGGCAGCTCTGTCACCCAGGGGAAAAGGGGTGACAAATCCGTGGGAGGCAAAGCAACATGTAATAATCAAATCAGGGTAGTTGGTATATTCGTTATTACAAAATGTTCTAATTCTTTGTGTCCATTAACCAATTTGTCCCTAACATTCCTCCCCCTCCCCTTACCCTTCTCTAATAACCAAAGTTCTGTTCTCTCCTGAAAGTTCAATGTATTATTGTGTTTGTTGTTTCTTTTTTTGTTTCTTTGTTTCTTTCTTTTTTAGCTCCCACTTATGAGGGAGAGGACATGTGGTATTTCTCTTTCTGTGCCTGGCTTATTTCACTTAAGGTAATTTTCTCCAAGTTCATCCATGTTGCTGTGAATGGTAGAATACTGCAAAATAAAATGTGATGGCAGATTAGATTGCAACCAACCTATAGATAACAATTATTTCTATTATCTTTTCAGGGAGCTTGTATTCTGAATATGCTAAGGGATTATCTGAGTCCTGATGCATTTAAAAGTGGTATTGTACAGTATCTCCGGACGTATAGCTACAAAAACACAAAAAACGAGGACCTGTGGAATAGCATGGCAAGTGTGAGTGTGTTTTTGTGTATCTCTACATTTGGGATTGACAGACTTATTACCTTGTTTTGTTTTGTTTCTCTTACATCATATTAATACCTCTGAGAAGAAATATGAGTGTTTTCTATAGAAATGAGAATGATGTGCTTGTTTTTTTTAGATTTGCCCTACAGAGAGCACACAAATGATGGATGGCTTTTGCTCTGGAAATCAACATTCATCTTCATCCTCAGTAAGTTTCCACATCTGTACATATTCCCCTAAGCACATTCTTTTATTCTTTGAAGGATAACTCTGTACCAGACTTTTTGAGGTATTTGGTTTTATCACCCTCATGCCAGATAAGACTGCATCTAAACTATACCAGACTGAGGGCCTTTTATAATTTTTCTTAGAAGGCATCTACACAAGAGGGTCGGTTGCACAGCTGCCTTGATAATACTACTCACTGATACTGTGGCGCTACGGCTTATGTCAGAATCCTGCCGACATCGCCAATTGTGGAGCTACATGACCACGCCAGTTGTTAGGCTCTTTTACCTGCCCATAATCCTGCACTGACTTGGCCAATTGTTGAGCTAGGGCTGGGTCTGGAGCTCACAGACCCCACAAGCCCGTTCCAGACTGGGTCACAAAACCTTTACACTCCAGGCTGGGTCACCAGATCACTTACACGCAGGTCTGTGAGCTAGGTAACCGGCAAATAAATCCTTGGAAGCTGCAGGTTGGAAAGCATGGCTGCTTGTGCGGTAGTGGCCACCAGAGGCAGTCCCCAGCCAGGGTGGCGGCACTGCATATGCGTACCAACTCCACCCCCGCACACACACATAATTTGTTTACTGAACCACCCCCAACCAGCCCAAGGCAAGAGGGCCTGATCAAATTGTTCTGTTTTCCCAACAGATACTCATTTCTTCAGCTTCAGTCTCCGTAAAGCAGTGGATTTATGACATATGTCCGTGGTAGAATAGGGCTATATTGTATCAGTCAGGAGGACGTGTCAATCATTTCCAGATCTCTGCATTTGTGAAAAAACAAATAATGGCAGTGAGCATTCTTGAACACTTACTATGTGTCAGGCAAGTGCTAAGCACTTATCTGTATTATCTCCATGACTCTTTGCAATAAACGTATGAGCTGGGCACTATTACTATCCCTGTTTTTACAAATGGGAATATGAAATCCAAAGGCATATGGTTGGTAAACTGCAGAGCAGGGATTTGAATTTAGATCTAACTCATTTTTTTAACTGCTGTAAACTATTCATAACATCTGAGCCACAAAACAGTCTGAGTCTCTGTTTAAATGGACTTGTGGAATATTTTCATAGGCAGCTGAGAGTGAGTCTGGAGATTCAACAGAATTTTATCTACCATATTTTTATTTTCTTGACTTTTTGTTTTTAGAGATTGCTTCATTCAGTGGTTTCTAGATTTTTCCTGTAGCATATTTTATCCTTTTACTAACTCTTAAATCTTTTCTTAAAAGCTTTTTTCATATCAAAGAACATATTCCCCTTTGAGTCGATGACTATTTGTTGAGTATGGGCCATCATCGTGTTATCACTTAGGAAGCACAGGCTCTTGAATGAACATTTTTTCCCACCTTGTTTGTCTGAGAGCCAGCATAGTTATATAGGTGTTGAAGACCTGGCCACTTTCTCTCCCTTCTCTCCCTTCACTCATTCATTCACATGTCTGCTTTGAGCCCAGTGCTACACCAGCCCCAAGGTGTGCCCAGCAGAACCAGATATGCTGCCTGTCCTCAAGACACACATGTGTAGTGGAGAATGAAAAGTAAATAGTGCTCTAATGGATGTGGGATGGCTGGGGACAGTGGGGGAACAGAACCAGGGCAAGGGGCTGGAGAGCAGGGGAAGAGATCAGGAAGAGCTCTGCAGAGGAGGTTGTCACAGGCGGCAGTCCTTGGAGCACAAGCTGGCATTCTCTTTTTTCTTAGAGTTGGGTCTAAGTGGGTGATAGATCTGCCTGTTTTTGTATAAACCAGCACTGGCGTCAGGAAGGCCTGGATGTGAAAACCATGATGAACACCTGGACGCTGCAGAAGGGCTTTCCCCTGATAACCATCACCATGAGAGGGAGGAACGTACACATGAAGCAAGAGCACTATATGAAGGGATCGGATGGTACCCCAGAGACTGGGTAATGTGCGTTGAGTAAAACTCATTCTGTTGCCTAGGAGACTTCAGCCTCGTAGGATAAAAGCTTACTTTTGAAAGAGTGCCTTTATCTCTATCACCAAAATATCTCAATTGAATCTATGTATCTTATGAAGTTGACTTTTATCCCCCATTTTCCCAAAAGGACTAAGGAGGCTTTAAACTTTAGTTACCCTCAGTAATATTGATGATATATAATTATTTTAACATTCTCAGTTTTGTAGTTTGATAGGGTGTAATTTCTAGTTATTGGCTTGAAATCAGCTCAGATCTAAGGATCTATTAACTGCCACTAGATTATAATAGTGCCTGGCATTTGGGTTGGAGCTAAGGACAAAAGAATTTAGATGATTTCTGGAATTTATGAGAGACTTAATTCTCTTTTTTGGAAGTCTGAATTAGTTTCTGGAACCTGTTGTCTGCTTAATGCTATAGAAGGGTATCACTGGAAAAGAGATGCTGCAACTTGACTGATGCTAGATGGACATTATTAAAATTTTTTATCTTGAAATAATTTCAGACCTTTGGAGAAGTTGCAAAAATAGTGCAAAGAATTCCCATATATGCTTTACCTAGATATATGTTAACTCTTTACTCCATTTGTTTTATCATTCTCTCTCTCTCCATATATATGTATGTGTATGTATATATATGTGTATGTATATATATGTGTATGTATATATTATATATATATATATACACGTCATTTTTTTTCTGAACCATTTGAGAGTAAGTCGGAGATGTGATACTCCTTTACATCTAAATACTTCAGTGTGGTATTTCCTAAAAAGTAAGAACATTCACATATAACCATAACATATAATGTATATAAGTACAATTATCAAGATTAGGAAATGAGCTTGGTAGGTACTATACTATTATCTAATATATAAAACCTATTCAACTTTTTCCAATTGTCCTAAAAATATCTTTATAGCAAAATAGAAAAAACACATCTGGTTTAGAGCTCAGTACAGGATCACATATAGTATTTAGTCTCCTCTTTAGTCTCCTTTTTTCCTGAAACTATTCTTTAGTCTTTCTTTGTGTCTTGACATTGACGTTTTTGAAGAGTATAGGCCAGTTATTTTATAGAATGTCCTTCAGTTTGGGTTTTCTGCTATTTCTTCATGATCAGATTTAGATCAGTTGAGACTGACAGTAAGTAATTCCACAGAAGTGACATGTGTCCTCAAAATATGGTTTTTAGGAGGCACGTAATGTCACTTTGTATCATTACTAGAGTCACTGTTTTTAAGTCAGGCCTCTGAGCTCCAATCAGTCCATCACTGTAAAGGCTTTCAGGGCTCACATAAGCCTGCATTCCCAACTTTACTTAAGGTGTCCAAGAATAATGAAAAGAGCCTGAGCTGGCACTCCTTACAAAGCTGGAAGACAGGCTGGCAATGTTTTGAGATCTTGGCCTTAGCGGTTTTGGTACCATCCAGTCCTAAACTGGTCAGTGCCTGGTACATGATAGGTGATTTAAAAACTGCTTGCATGTGGTGAATAAATAATGCACAATTTATTCCTCCTTTCTTCTAGGTACCTGTGGCATGTTCCACTGACATTCATTACCAGCAAATCAGATTCGGTCCATAGATTTTTGCTGAAGACAAAAACAGGTAATTTATTGTGGAAATAACTAGTTTCCCTCAAGAAGGATGGTGGAAATGTGTAGGATTTAAATACTAAGCTTCTTTTGCTATTTATCTTGGTTAAAGCAAAGGGGGTCAAGTTCAAAATACTGTCTGGTTTTGAAAAAGAATGGCCAATATCTTGTCAGATAGATTAAAGCAGGTGAGTTATATAATGCTAAAAAGGAGGGATTACTAGTGAAAATTCCTATTACTTTGTTAACATTACGGGGTTATATCATATATATGGCCAGAGATGTGGTTGCATTATTTTCATAGATCTATAAATCTCACAAGATTGGTGTCGAAAGCTAGTGTTGGCCTTTGTCTATTGGGCTTCTGTTTTTCTGGTTTCCAAAAGAAAGAAGTGATGATTTCAGATTGTTCAGTATTAAACGTTTCTCTAATTTCTTTGTCTAGTCTCTGATCAGAAAAGCTTTCATCTGGGCCAGCCTGGTGGCGCACTGGAGAGTGCGCCGCTTGGGAGTGCGGCGGCGCTCCCGCCGAGGGTTCGGATCCCATGTGGAGACCGGTTCCCGCTCACTGGCTGAGCGCGGTGCGGGCGCAACACTGAGGGTTGCGATCCCGTTACCGGTCAGTAAAAAAGACAAAAAGGAAAAAAAGAAAAGCTTTCATCAGTCAAGAGAGTAAATGGAGCTATAATTTATTTTATTTGCTCTAGATGTGCTCATCCTCCCAGAAGAGGTGGAATGGATCAAATTTAATGTGAGAATGAATGGCTATTACATTGTGCATTACGAGGATGATGGATGGGATTCTCTGACTGGCCTTTTAAAAGGAACACACACGGCAATCAGCAGTAATGATCGGGCGAGTCTCATTAACAATGCATTTCAGCTTGTCAGGTAATACAAGCTGTGCCAAGTCGTGGTTTATTTCTGAAAGCAGCTGCTATCGTTCAAATTCTTGATTTCTAAAGGTGAAAATGATTGATTGATTGCTGAGAAGAAGTTGAAAGGTGTTTTCCACTAAGTTCTAACCGTCAAGAGGTTGTTTTTAGCCTTATGATTAACTTTCTGTCAGTGACTGCTCAGTAACTTGAAGGAAGGAATCTGTATTTTAATGTTTCTCATTAACAACTCAGATCAGACTGAGGCAAAAGTGTAGAAAGCTAAGAGACTAAAACCCAGGTGAATCCCCTTTCCTCATCCCTGAAGCCTTGTCCTGCAGCTTTTCCTGGTCCTGCTATGACAGATCAGGTTTCTCTCATGCTGGCTCTTTAACATTCTTGAAGCCTTCTTAGAAGACTAAGTGACCCAGGCCCAAGTTGTTTGAATGCCATCTCTTGGATTAAAGGAGATTTTTGTCCCCCCTAAACCAGATACCTGATCTTTACAGCATCTTTATGGAATACGGCTTATAAAATTGGCCCAATCAAATGACCTTTGAATGGTTGAGGACAGAGTGAACACTATTCATTTTGCCCCATGACAATGGTTTTTAAGGAAATGCTCCCCAAGCCTCAAACTCAAGCTTCTTCCCTACTTAGGCAGAACTGAAGTCCTGGGGAGAGCCATGGAGGTGGGAAGGGGTAGCTTTGTAGTTCTCCTGTCCTCCTGCTGCCCTCAATGTGGATTTCTTCCTTCTGCTGCTTCTCACCAACAAACTGGGCCTCCTGAGGTGACAAAAAGCAACAGGTGGGGGGAGAAAATTACGGGTTGCTTAGCTAACTGTTTCTTCCTGCCTAAAAAATTCCCTTCTGTGGCATATTTCTGCTTAAATCTTAGAGGGTTTTGTGTTTACTTACACATGTATATATCCTACCACTAAGGCTTTTAACACCAACTCTCAGCTCTATGTATATTCAGTGTCTTTTTGAAACGGAGAAGATGTGTTTACTCCAGGGGCTCATAGTTTTGACTGAATGGCTACATGAAGAGTCTTTGATCGAAATCCCCTTCTTACTCTGGAGGCTTAGCACACAATCCAGTGTTTCATAGGGAGACAGAAGCTGACATGCTTCCATTTGGTCTTAACCACAAGTTATCCCGAGCTCTTTTATTAGAGAAACTCCCTTCCAGTGTAACTGCTCCAGATGTTGTGTTATGTGTGACAGAACAGATACTAATGTAAAGGTCATTATAAGGGGTATTTGATCTCATTGAATGTTGTGCTGGAAGATTAAGATATATTTTGAAGTAAAAAGTTGATTTCCTGGATTTTGTTTGAAACTGCTAACCATGGTGTCTCTTGATCAGCATTGGAAAACTATCAATTGAAAAAGCTTTGGATTTAACCCTGTACCTGAAACATGAAACTGAAATTATGCCCGTCTTCCAAGGTTTGAATGAGCTGATACCCATGTATAAGTTAATGGAGAAAAGAGAGATGAATGAAGTAGAAACTCAATTCAAGGTAAATGCCTGAAATAAATAGAATAGTTATATAATTGTGGTTCGCTTTTTGGTGTGTGAAAAAGAGTGCTTATCAGTGTGTGTGTGTGTCTTCACAAATATCAAGAAAAAGCGTTTGGACTAGCAAAAGTGTTGTTTTGTTTGGCACTAGAAATAGAAATGGCAATGTTAGATCCTGTACTAAATTTTCATGGATTTTTTACTCCCTTCCTTTCACAAATCTTTTATTTCTTTTACTTCTCCATTATGATGGCTGGCTTTAGGATTTTCTGGGACTTACTGGTACATGAAGAAAAAACACAATTTTTATTTTTGGCAAAATGTCATGAAGTCCTGCTGCATAATTTGCTCTCAAAATTTAGTCATATAAACTATTTCTTTTACTTTAAGAGTGGCAGCTCATCCTGGTTTTAAGTAGACAGGATATGTTTAGAAAAGATTGTTATACAAATACTAAAGTCATTCATTACTATTTCTTGTTTTTGACCCTTTTTATAATTAAATATAGATAGAGCTGCATGGTTTTTAAAAATAAGAATTAATTAAGCTTTACAAATTAGTCCCCATCACCTGAGAGTGTATTGGATTATGTAAACATGACATGACCTGTGACAATACTATGACACATGTCACTGTCCCCTGTGTAATGCCTGCAGGCCTTCCTCATCAAGCTGCTGAGGGACCTCATTGATAAGCAGACGTGGACAGATGATGGCTCGGTCTCCGAGCGAATGCTGCGGAGCGAGCTCCTTCTCCTTGCCTGTGTGCGCAAGTATCAGCCATGTGTGCAGAGGGCAGAAGGCTATTTCAGAGAGTGGAAGGAATCCAATGGAAATCTGAGGTCAGTCCTTACCAAATAACCACTTTGTTGATGTATAGGGTATCTTTTCTGTTTTCCATCATTGGTGCTAAACATGGGGAGAAACAAGTACAGTAATCCCTCCTTTTCTTGGGGGTATGTTCCAAGACTCCCAGTGGATGCCTGAAACTGCATTTATAGTACTGAGCCCCATAAATACTATGTTTTTTCCTGTGCATACATACCTATGATAAAGTTTAATTTATATATTAGGCACACTAAGAGATTAACAATGATTACTACTAATAAAATAGAACAATTGTAACAATATACTGTAATAAAAGTCATCACACTATGGCTGTAACTTTTGCATTTTGGGATATGACCCCAAAACTAGCATGAATTTCCTTCTTCACAATTTCACAGGTAGAAGATTCGTTCTTACTGTAGATCTTAGCGACCTCAGCATAAGATTTTTTTCCTTTCCTTATTAAGTCAAAACTTTCACTGTTTCACTTAAAGGAAGCACTTTTGCCTTCTCTTTGGCATATCTGAATTGCAGCATCACTGCTCTTGTGCTTTGGGGCCATTATGAAGTAAAATAAGAGTGACTTGAACACAAGCACTGCAGTCCCTTGACAGCCGATCTGATAACTGAGATGGCTGCTAAGTGACTGATGGGTGGGGAACGTGTACAACATGGACATGCTGGACAAAGGGATGATTTATGTCCCAAGTGGGACTGATGGAGAGGGATGGCCTGAGATCTCATCACGCTACTCAGAATTTTTGCAATTTAAAACTTACGAATTATTCATTTCTGTAATTTTTCATTTAATGTTTTTGGATTGAGGTGACTAAGGGTAACTGAAACCACGAAAAGCAGAACGGTGGATAAGGGGGGACTATTGCATAAATGAGTCTCCCCTGCTGTTCTTTTTTGGAAAATAAATTGCTTTTTAAGATTTATCTGTGTATCTTCCAACTTTCTTTTAAAAAATGCTAGGAGGGAACTTCTGTTCATAAAAGTCAACTATCTGGGGAGCTAGAACAGGATTAGAATAGTTCCCATTTTGTACAGCCAATACAAAACCTTATTAAACTGAGATGGCCGTGGCAGACATAAACAGAGACAGTACATTTTATAGTAGCTTTTTTTGGCCTCCAAAATCCCTGGGGTGCATAGTAATTGCTGACACTGTCTAAGCAAGGTAGGATCTTACCATATCTGGAAATCTCTGTTCTTGCTATACACCTCAGTCTTTTTATCTTACGAGTTTAAATCTTATCTAGGAAACATTTATGCCAACAATCTACATGCTTCTGTTTAAATAAATGCTTACAAACAGTGGTCCTACTGGATTCCTGACTTGTGTTTATGGCATAAATTTTAGTCTAGCTTGAATTTCTTTCTTTTGGCTTGTAAGGTGACCACATATAGACTGATTCAACATCATTAAAGTGTGATAGATATGTGGGTATTTATAAAAGTGTCATTTCACATTATGTTTTTAAGACTACTTAAAACCAAATTTAGATAATTTAGAAAACTGCCTCTTTCAAAAAATGTAACTGAAGGAAAGAAGTACTTTTTGTTTATATTTCCAGGCATCCTTCTCTAATCATGGGGCCAGCTCATCAGCTCATGATTGGTCACCATTATGCTTCTAAACTCACTCACTGTATCTCCAGTTCTCACCACGTGTGTCCTTTTTCCACAGCCTGCCTAACGATGTGACCTTGGCAGTGTTTGCTGTGGGGACCCAGAGCACTGAAGGCTGGGATTTTCTTTACAGTAAATATCAGTCTTCTTTGTCCAGTACCGAGAAAAACCAAATTGAATTTGCCCTTTGTGTGAGCCAAAATAAGGAAAAGCTTCAGTGGTGAGTCATTCATTCACGTTCATGTGGCCGAGGGAAATTAAATTAGGTCAGATCATTCTGGCATCTATTTTTGTTCTCTTGGCCAGGAATTGCCTATTCTGCTGGGAACATTTATGTAAGTGGGCACACATCTAATGAGAATGGCAAATAATTGGGGAGAACTAAGTGTTAGGAAAAATATTGAAAGGAGTATATATTTGTGTATCTTTGTATCTTTAAGGCGATAACATACTTGAAATATTTATTAGAGATATCCTTCCTTAACTATTTTTTTTAGCAAATGAGAGAATATATGAGAATGGGTGTTGTAAGCAGTATGTAAATGTTAATTTAGTTTTTATTATTACTTAGCTATAGTAGGTTTATCAGGACTCTGGTAACCTATTTATCTTTTTGGTCTTTATTATTGGCAGGGTTTTTTTTCAGATTATTATTATTTTTTTTTTCCTTTTTTGTCTTTTTTTGTGACTGGTAACGGGATCGCAACCCTCGGTGTCACGCCCGTACCGCGACCGGCAACGGGATTGCAACCCTCGGTGTCGCGCCCGCACCGCGCTCAACCAGTGAGCGGACTGGTCTCTATATGGGATCCGAACCCTCGGTGGGAGCGCCGCCACGCTCCCAAGCACCGCACTCTACCGAGTGCGCCACCGGGCCGGCCCTTTTTTCAGATTATTTTATTGCAGTTATTTGTAACTGTTTCATTGTTTGTTTATTGCGAACCTTTTTTTTTTTGTTTATCTTTCCAGGCTTCTAGATCAAAGTTTTAAGGGAGATATAATAAAAACTCAGGAGTTTCCAGGTATTCTTACACTCATTGGCAGAAATCCAGTGGGATATCCATTGGCCTGGCAGTTTCTGAGGGAAAATTGGAATAAACTTGTACAAAAGTAAGTAGCACCAACAATTGTGCTGGGACTGGATAAATTCCTTAACTTTGCTGTGTGTTAGCTTTGTTGTCTGTAAAAGAACAGTAACAGTCCAGAGGGATTTTTTTTGATTAAACATAGGCAGTGGAAATACTTAAAATACCCTTAGAAAATATAAAACTCTAATCACATGCTAACTAACGTATCTGCATAGTAACACTGTCCATTCCATCAGGAATAAGCCCTTCCTGTACGGACTGACTTATTTGAAGCCCAAGACTTCTATTAGCACTTTTGCTTGTTTGCATCTGCCTTTGTTCAACTCTTGTAGCACTTCCTACTGCTATCATTTGCTTTTGGATACTTAATCTTTTATTCAGCTGTTGGTGTGTATTATATTTTACAACTAGATACTAAACCCATTGGAGAATAGCGATCATATTTTATATCTTTTTCATGACTACTCAGTCTTTAGTTAAATGCTTTTGTATATATGAGGCACTTAAAAATATATGTTGAATAAGTAAGTATTTCACAACACATTTTGACAATTTCCGTTTCTAGGTTTGAACTTGGCTCACCTTCCATAGCTCACATGGTAATGGGAACAACAAATCAGTTCTCTACAAGAACACGGCTTGAAGAGGTAAAGACAAATTTTGCTTTTTTTTTTTTTTTCCTTTTTGTCTTTTTTCGTGACTGGTAACAGGATCGTAACCCTCGGTGTCGCGCCCGCACCGCGACTGGCAACGGGATCACAACCCTCGGTGTCGCGCCTGCACCGCGACCAGCAATGGGATCGCAACCCTCGGTGTCGCGCCCGCACCGCACTCAACCAGTGAGTGGACTGGTCTCTATATGGGATCCGAACCCTCGATGGGAGCGCTGCCACACTCCCAAGCGCCGCACTCTACTGAGTGCGCCACTGGGCCGGCCCCAAATTTTGCTTTTAAAATTAACTGACAATTAGCTAGTAAGTATAGGGTAGACAAAATATTTTAAAAGTGTGATGAGTCAGAAATGGATTTTGTCATTTAGAAGTTATTTTTTTGGATGCTATCGAGTTGGTATAAGCAAAAATCAGTTGCAAATAAATTACTAAAAACTGTGCCTCTTCTCAAACACATTAAGAGGTCTTAGCTCTGCCATTAAAAACTTTAGGACTCCAAAAACTTACTTGAGAGAATTAGTCCTTGCTTAAGGATGTTAAGGTAGAAACGACTGCAGTGGTCATCAAGCTATTGTGAAAGAGGCAGGTCTGGAATCTTGGTTCTCTTCTATCCAAGTTCATGGATTCCCTGTTACTTATTATATCTAATATCTATTTTCAGAAACAATTTTAGGCAACTATCAAAGAAATGTTAACATAAAGAACACAAAGCTTGAAAATGGATAGGAGATAAGTATACATGGGACTTATGCTGAGGATAATTAATGAAATGGTACCCTAAACTTGTAACAGAGCTTCCTAGCAGTCGAGGAAAAATGAGGAAAATCAGTATGAATTATTCTCATTGTCTGGTAAAAGGGAACATGAAAGGTACAAGTATTCTACAAAAGCAGGCTTTCCTCCCATCCTAAACTCTGAGAAATTTAATGTGTGAGTCATTGTTTTGTGGTGTCCCTTCTGTAATAAGGTTTCCTGTAGTAAAGTTGTGGAACAAATTTTACATGGCTTTTAAAATATGCTACTTTATGTAAAGGCTAAGAGCCTAGTATTAAAATTTAGGAATAGTTCCATTGTGTAGTCTGGTTATACCATGACCTAGCTTGATATAGGGAGAAAGCTTTGAAAATGCAAAAGAATGAAAGGTTGTCATAGTTCCTTAGCTTTTCTCCAGTTTTCAGTAGCCTCATCCAGGCTTGTAAATTAATTTGCACATGATAATTCAAGCGTGAGCTCCAGTGAGGTCTACAGCAGAGGTATCCTATGTGATGACTAAAGAGCTGTACATAGGCTTTGACCAAATAGATATCCATTCATAGATCAGATCTATAGCAACAGAACACTTCATTCATTCATTTGTTCATTCGTTTTCTCATTAATGCATTCAAGACATATTACATTCTTATTTTATGCCAAGCATGTTTTTTGGTTCTGGGGCTACAGAGATGAACAGATAAAGCCCCTGCTTTCATGGAGCCTAAGTTCCTTTGGAGGAATCAGACAATTACAGACAAATCAATTTACGCCAAATAGTTACACGCTCTGAAGATGAATAAGGCAAGGAGAGTGTGTGATTGGGGTGGGGGAATGGTGCTATGTTTTATAGGATAATTAGGAGACAAGAGTGTTGTGAGTAGAGGAACCATCAGGTTGCAAAGACCCTGAAGAGCCTGAGAGATTGCCATAATGAAGAGTATCCTACTGACATTTAAAATGTAGGAGTCATCCTTCCTCTCACATCTAATTCTTCCCTGGGTCCCGTTGCCTCTGTGCCTAGCACTTGCCTCATATCTATGCAGTAGTCTTTTCTGCTCTTACCCCAATCCAAGCCTTTTCCATCTCTTGCCATAGCCTTTTAACTGACCCTTCTCCTGCATTTGGCCAATAGCAAACCATATTCCACATTTAAAACTGCAAACCCATCCATGGTCCATGACTGACCCTGCCTTCTTGAAACCCTGCCTTGCAGTAAACTCTAAGCTCCTCCTTCCTGTGTGTCCAAGATCTTGATGATCTGGTTCCTGCCCACCTCTCCAGCCAATTCCCACATGCGCTCCTGTGCTTGCTGTCTCACAACGTCACAGCCACTCAGCTGCCTCTTGCTCCTGGCCCCCAGGGGTTTCTCCTGTATCTAAGCCTCTGAACTTTTTCTTCTCTCTACTTGGCTTGCTCATTTTATCCTTCAGAGGTCCCAGCTCAAATATCACCTTACCGGACCACGCTGTCTAAAGCAGGCCACCCTCTCCCCCATTACTATCATACCCTGACTTACTTTCTTCACAGCAGTATATTTATAGTAATCATATTTACTGTTTATACAGCCAGGTAGACTGTAAGCTGCATGAGGGCAAGGTACTGGTTCATTGCCTCATCCTGTGTCTAGTCACAGTAATTAAGGCAGACAGATGAATAAGAACCTGAGTAAATATTGGTGAGTAAATAGATGAAGTTGTGTCCCTAGTACATGCTGGGTTTTTAGGTTCTACACTTCAGCCACATTACGTAACTACATTCTCAACACCACTCTGCAATGTAGATATTATCCTAATTTTACAAATTAGGACACTGAATCCCAGAGAAGTGAACCCATTTGTTCAAGGTCAAACAAGTTAGGAGGATTAGCCTGTTTTTCTATCCCTATATCTCACTGCTTATTGCACAGAAAATGTTCTCTGAGAGTCACATCTAAATCAAATAGTTGAGATGCTGCATCTCCAAGGCAGATGAAGATAGGAGACAATTTTGGGTAAGGGCAAGGGTTAACAGACCTCCTGTTGAAGGTCTGCCTTTTAGTGGGGCTATCAGGATGACCTCCTTCAGGCTTAACCAATTAGAAAAATCATTGATGTGGTCTAACTGTTGAAGAGTGCCCAATATGATTTTTAACTGACTATGAATTAATCCCGAGTTCTGAGAGTATGAGAGAGTAGGCTGAGATACAACTCAAGGCAGGACACTGGAGGCGGAGAAGTGCTTTCTAGGCGATGCCTTCAGCTCACTGAAAAGTTGTATTGAGCTATAATTTTAAAACAACTCTGCATCATTTAAAATTGGAATTTGATCTTTCTAAAGCCTATTCCTACCCCCACCCCATATTCCCAAACTTATAATATGGTATTAGGACATGGATTTTTTAGGAATTAGTTGTCTGGAATCCATGCTGAATAAATAATATATCTTGGCCTACACTTACTTCCTGACTACAAAAATTAAAAAATTGATTGATTAGTGGTGTGAAAATTTATGGAGAAAAGGTTAAGAACCCTTTAAGGCGAAACAGAATAGCACAATATTCAATGCTGTGGCAGAGCCAGCCTGTCCCTCATGTGAGCTTAAGGGATGAAACAAGAGCAAAGATATTTTTGAGGAGACAGCTAAAACTCTCTTATCTCTTTAAAACTATGGGGAACTTTATGTGGATTTTATCTTGAGGGAACAATACACAAATTATGGATTAGGATAAAAAAATTGGCAAGATTTGGGGTCTTACCACCATAACTTGCTAAGAACCCCATTTCCCACAGAGTTTCTGTAACAGCATGCACGGCCAGGCCCATGGAGAAAGACTGCACTTAAGTGGTCAGAACTGTTTTGCTTGGCAAAGAAGACAGTCCACACATTCTGCTTTTTAGATATGTTTTAAAAAAATTAAGTTTGCATCTGTGTGTATAAAACAGGATATGCATTAAATAGACACAGTCAATTAAACCTTAATTATAAAATTGTAAACAGTAAAGTCTTTTAAAGTCTGGCAACTGTGAATAAATAAGAGGGCTGCAGAGAAAAAAACATAGAACCTGACATCATGAGGCATGAGCTCATTTCGTACAGCTTATGTGTACATAATTGAATCCAGACACCTGGGACTGCCTTCTATGTAGAATTTTGAGATGCTGGAATTCTGGCTTCAGTTTTCTTTTGCTTAATATAATAAACAGAAGTTACATTTGCTTAATGTAATAAAACTAATTTTTAAAAATTCAATTTTTCTTCATAAGGTAAAAGGATTCTTCAGTTCTTTAAAAGAAAATGGTTCTCAGCTCCGTTGTGTCCAACAAACAATTGAAACCATTGAAGAAAACATACGTTGGATGGATAAGAATTTTGAAAAAATCAGAGTATGGCTGCAAAATGAAAAGCTTGAACTGCTGTAATGATTCATTCCTTGCCAGGTTCCTGTGACCTAGAATCCCCCAATTTTGTTGAATGTGAATATTTTCAAACTAGAGATGGCTGTTTTGGCTCCAGCTGAAGATACTTCCTTTCCCTTCAACTCCTCATTCATTTGGCCATTCCTGTGAAAAGATGGGCTGTTAGTTTTTCATCAATGGGCTATTACTACCGCGTTTCATTTGCAGGTGTTGCCCTGCAACATAAACCCAAGTGGTGGGTTTCCTGCCACGGAGAATTACCTTATTATTCTCATTTTATATTTTATGCTTAAACCCCAGTGTCCAAAACCCTGTGCCCCACGTGTTTGTTATTCATAAGCTGTTTCATCTATCTCCCTTGAAGACTTTGAATAGTGGAGGATACTGAACCGTGAACACCTGGATCAAAGACTAAGCTGGACTATGGTTGTGCTGGAGCTCTCCTGTTGACCCCTCCAAGTAGGCTGTCCACCCTTCTCTTCCTTGCTCCATGCCCAGGGGCTCCCTTGTAGGCCCATGTCATCAGGCTTTCTTGCCCTCTGGATTTTGGTCAATGGGGAGCCCCAGGAGATGGGGTACGGGGGTGTTTTTTTCCCCTGGTTCCCTGGCAGGTTGCCTCAGGCAGGCCTTCACTAAAGGTCTTGGTTCCTGAGAGGTGGCCTTTCTTCCACCCAGCCTTCTCCATTTCCAGGTTCTGGTTACTGCTTCCTTCTCTCATCTCTTCTGGGACAGAGGCTACAACGTGACAGCCTGGTTCTTACTATTCCCAGTGATACCTGTGGTTTCCATGCACCCTGCCCACACCTTTGTAAAAATTCCAACAACTAAATAACTCGCTATGGGTACTTACTGCCAATAAATCATTGCAGAGTCACCAATAAATGATAACATATTGTGAAACTGAAAATATCTGCTTATATTAGCCTAAGTGAGGACATTCTTTGGCTTTGAACTGAAGTTCTTATGTACATGAATTTTTTGAATATATGACAAAAATTTCAAGATAAAGGTCTATATGATTGATTGACACAAAAAATGTCAAAATGTGTTGCTGTAATACACTATCGAATAGTGATTCTCTGGACATAAATGTGTTTACAATTCCATTTGTATACCTATTGCATGGTTAGTGGTCTGAGAAATAAAAATAAAATCAGAAATCACTGGTAATTTCCACCCCAGGCTATTTTCCTTCTAAAAAAACATTCACAGCCAAGATTTTAATGTAAAATATTTTGCTTTAATTATATTTTATATCTTGATTAATGAAACATGGAAATATTGTCAGTTTTTGGTCACCTGAGAATCCTGTCTTCATCCGCTTTTGGAAAAGCCCATTTTCTAAACAGATACAATATTGCCACAACGTGTAGAAATCTTTTTGGTAATAAATTGCTCTTCACCTCTAAGCAGACATTTGCAATTATTTTCTCCTAATTATATGGGTAAAAAAAGGACTGAGATCCTGTAGCTTACTCAAGTCAATTCATCATTAGTTATTCGCAAACACCCAAGTCTCGATATTTCTAATAAAAAAAGAAGGCAAATTCAGAGTCCCTTAAACATTTATTTACAGGCATTCTTAAATCTGGATTTTGGTATGTCATTTAAAAATACTTCTATATATGCATGGAAATTAGTAATACTTCAGCCATACCCTTGCAAACACATCTGTCACCGTCAAAGGTTTCAGTCTTTTTTCTTTTTTTAAGCAAAGCAAACATCTATACCGCCCAAATGAGAGAATTAGATATATAGTTAAAATCCTTCAGGAAAAGTGTTTTTCCTTTTCTTGTTACTGCCTTGAAAATAGAATAATCACTATATCTCTGATGGGACAAAGACACAGCATTTTAAGTAGGTGGAGTTTGAAGTCCCATAGGTATGTGCATGATTTTCAGAGAGTATTTTTAGGGAGTAGTAACAAAATTTATCCCCATTAAAAGCAGTGTTGGAAGCAGTGTTGTTATTTCTGCTTGCCCCATTAAACAGCATTGGTGATGATATTTTTAGTGAAGTCAGTTAAATTCTAACAAAAGCTTTAAACTGTTCCAAGGAAGGCCATGCTATCTAAAAACAAATTCCAAATCTGTTCTATGATACGTACCTGACATCTTTCCCTACGTCCACTACCAGGAAATGAAGATGAAATTAAATATTTATCAAATTCTTTCATGACATGAGTACAACATTCATAAACTATTCATTCAGAAAGATCTGAGAAACCATTCAAAGTTGTACGACATCAGAGCTTAGTTCTTAAATTGCCACGGGGGAAAAGGAGATTTTAAATTTCAGGGTTTTTTTAAAGCAAAAGTTTGTTTTCATATTTGGTAAATTAATTTCCATAAAGCCAGATCCTATACAGTGCAAAGACTAATGTGGCGATGGCTCTAAGCAAATAATTGCTGCTCAGATTTTATGCACAGAGAGTAGAGAGCACAGTTTAATAACGTCGTAAACCACCAGAGTTCAAACCATATGAATACTCTAAGAATTAGATTTTTTTATTCTCAAAACTTGCTGTACAGTGACTTATCTAGCTTGCATTCTGCTTTTCTGCTGACTTGATTCAAGTCTCAGTGTGTTTTGTGCCGACTGTGAGGTGCAGAAGTCTTCACTTCTGGCAGAGAGGAGTCCAAACTGAAAAGGGGTTCGGGTGCTTCCTGGTTTGTCGTGATCTACTATTAATTTATTATTAGCAGCTCAAGAGGAGGTGTAGGCCCAATGTACAATATTTTATGTTTGATGTACAAACATTAACCCAAAGAAACATCAAATACAGTTCAAAAGCCCGAGGAAAGTGGGTAACAAGAAATTAGAAGGTTGAAGAATGTTTAAAACATTGTTTTCCAAATGCTAACAAAAAAGATTAAGTGCAAACTGAAAACGCTAATAAGATTTACAGGCACTGTGTGTAGAATGTGCAAAAGTTTGCAAAATTTTTCTTTTTTTGGTGTTGCTTTAAGAAATGTTATCAAATATATTTCTTACAAATATAAAGCTTCCTTTCCCAACTAAAGGCAATTTTTAAAAAATTCAAAGTTTATCAATACTCAGTATAACACAGGTGAACCAGACAAATTCATTTCTTTCTGGAAAAGAATAACAACCAAAGTTTAGAATGTCAAAGGACTCAACAAATACCACTGTCTAGAAGCCACCCAGAAAAATTTTCTCTTGCCAAAGTCTTTTGTTCTTCAAAAGTCACCATCCACCAGCAGAAGATTTTATATGCAGATACCTTAAAAATTCAAACAGAAAATCTAGTGAACCACTTGATATGTAATTTTCTTGTTACAGAAATAGTAAATATACCCTTTAGCAAAAGCATTATATAACAGATGAGAAGAAATTTCCTATAAGTAAATATGAGAGTGGATTATTAATGGAAAATCTTTTAAAATTTTGGGAAAAATCTTTAGAGCAGTTCTAATTAGTATACCTCTCTCCTTATAAAGAAATAAAAATGGATCATATTGAAAGAGAGGAACCTGATTTAACATACATTTTTATTTCTTTTAGGCTTTCATCAGTAAGTGGTTATGTACTTTGATGGTTTGGAGTAATACCTCTCCTCTCTGAAGATTAAGATAAGGATCCAGCTCTCAAGATAAATTTCAGAAATTCCTTCATCTGTTGGATTTCTTCAGTCACCATAAATTAGAATCAAATACAGTACTGTACTTTCCAAAATTAAGGCAAATGAAAGTGGTCAATCCTTTCCTTTGCCCTTGTTCCAAAAACCCTGTAATTTCCACCAGACTCTAAAGGGTACTTCTCCCCACCCCACCATGTGTTGGTATTTTAGGTGATAAATATATATCTTAAGGACATTTCACTACAAGTTGTAGCATGCTAATTTTAGTTTGCTACAATAACCTGCAGTCATGAGCATTTGGATTTCAAAGATCCAACTAGTCTCATAAAGTCATTTTCTAAACAGTCTGGCCTAATATTTTGAAGAGCTCTTAATTCTAAGATTAATGTTTGTTGTTTTTTGTCTTTTTCGTGACCGGTAAGGGGATTGCAACCCTTGGCTTGGTGTCACCTGCACCGCGCTCAGCCAGTGAGCGTACCGGCCATCCCTATATAGGATCCGAACCCGTAGCGGGAGCGTTGCTGCACTCTCAGCACCGCACTCTCCCGAGTGCGCCACGGGATCGGCCCAAGATTAATGTTTTTAAACATTCCAATAGTACAATCATCCCATTTAGTGCTTTTCAGAGAATGGCTGGTTACTCTGTAGATTTTGCAATGTGCATTTTTCATGGCAATAATATAAAAACAGCAGGAAATATTCAAGAGGTGGACTTTGCTTCTCTCACATCTAACACGTTGGTTGGTTGAGGCACGGTTATCTTCATTTACAATAAATACTCAACTTACCAAAGAGTGTAAACTTTAACTTGTATTTTTTTCTCCAGTTTGTGGCTTGGAAGTTTCCTCTGTTGTCTAAAAGGGAAAGTAAAACCATCAGTGTGTGGTGAGCTCTTTCTTTTCTGGATTAAGTATCAAAAAACCGATCAACCAGAGGAGGCTTATGAGCAGATGGAACAAAAGATGATTCTTTTTAAGTTTCTTTTCTCCTTTGGACAAAACATTGAGTTTTTCCCCTCAATTTTATAAGCTAAAAACTACCTTAAGTGATCCTAAATTTCTCACTTTAAACTTTTTTTTTTTTTTAAAGCTGGGGTAAGTAGAGAAAACAAATGCATAGGTATTCATGGATGGCAGTGTTTTATCATTCTATGGTGATCCATCCTTTTCCTGTACTTGGGGGCATGGCTGGCCTAATCCACTTATCAGAAAGGGTTATTATGCTTTCTAATCTGTTAAAGAGCTGATGAAGTACTCTATACAACAAATTAAATAATAAGCATTTAATCTATTTAATCTCTTTGAGATATAATGGCATGAGTAACTGTCAGTGATCAATCATGTTTCCTGTGTCCTTTAATGGAATCTATTATATCAAGACTTCACTATCTTAAAAGTGTTGATACATCTGGACTATTGCTTTTAAAGCTGCACTGTTAATTTCTCATTATAGTCAGAGAGTCATAGTAATAACCATTTGGATCATAATTCTTAGAATTAGAAGAAATCTACAAGTTGTCCAATCTAACTTCCATTCCTGACCATGACTTGAGTAATTTTAATAAGAGGAAGCTCTCAATTGTTGTGCTCCATTAATGTCCAACTCTAAGACTTAAACTAGACCCTATAACTTCCATTCATTAGCTTTAATTCTACTATCGTCTAGAGCAACATGAAAAATTATGTACTAATAGTCCATCTCCCTCTAAAATGCTATCTAATGAATATAATGAACCACAAAAACTCTAATGTTTTCCCTAATTCTGGATACTATTTCCATGTTATAAAATTTATAAAACCATGTATTTACTCTGATGGTATTTTAATAAGGGAAATGAAAGCAACTTGAATTGTGTTAAGAACATTCATTTAGATTTTTAAAGTACCATTTACTTAAATATATATATTTATACATATGTTTTATATATAATACATATTTTTAAGTAGCTGGTGCTTTAAAAATTTTTAATGTAAATTTTTAAATAAATATTATAAATATGTTTTATATTATTTATATTTAATGTATAGCATATACTATACATATATTTAAGTAACTGGTACATTAAATATATATGTATTTAAGTAACTGGTGCTTTAAAAATCATAGTAATAACGTAGTTTTATAAACATATATATATATATACATACATATCTGTAAAAATTCAATTTCTTTAGCAAGGCATGCATGCTAGGGAATAGACAGTGTTAAAAAAAAAATCTTTTATTCTAAATAGATTCCAATAAGAAATTAAATGACCAGAAGGATAAACCCCACTCTGGTGATTGGTAATTTGTAGAATGTTTACTGCTCTGTGTTTACCTTTGCTGGATCCTTTGCTTTACCTCCGTTCTTGGGTGCTTTGGAACTGGAAGCAGTCTTCTTGCTCTTATGCTAAGGCAAAGGAAATGTAATGAGGTTATTGCTATCATCAATCCATCTAGTAATTAACTATTGGGTCAATCAAATTAATGCAGACTATTCTTTCTAGTATCCTGGAGATTTCCAACTTACTTAAATAATGGAAGACTCTGGGTGTTTTGGTCATGATTTTTGGAACAATGGTGAATATACAAGGAAGTGTTTTAGGCAGGAGGTAAAAAGGATAAAAATTAGGAGGGAAATGTGGGTCACATTGATGTTCTGCCAATTTCCATGATGCATGATTCACCTAAATCTTATTTTGCACATAAAAACAGAGTTTGTCTATTATAAAAAAGACAAGAAATAACAAATGTTGGCGAGGCTATGAAGAAGAGGTAATCTGAGTACAGTGTTGGTGGGAATGTAGATTGATACAGCCATTATGGAAAACAGTATGGAAATTCCTAAAGAAATTAAAAATAGAACTCCCATACAACACAGCAATCCCTCTTCTGGGTATATAATAACCAAAGGAAATTAAATCACCACCTCATAAAGATATCTGTACTCCCATGTTCACTGCAGCATTATTCACAATAACCAAGATGTAGAAGCAACCCAACTGCCCATGAACAGATGAATGGAAAAAAAAAATGTATATGCAAGGAATATTATTCAGCCTTAAAAAAAGGAGATCCTGCCATTTGCAACAACATGGATAGACCTGGAGGACAAACACCCATGATCTCACTTATATGTGGAACTTATACAGAGAGTTCAAATACACAGAGATAGAGAATGAAACAGTGGTTACCATGGCGGGGGAGGGAAGGGTTAGAAATGAATTGGGGAAATCTAGGTCAAGGGATACAAAATAGTGGATATGTAGGATGAAAAAGTGTAGAGATCTAATATACAACATGAGGACCAAAATTAATAAAATTATATTGTATTAGGGATTTTTGTTAAATAAGATTTTAGCTGCTCCTGTCACAAAAAATAAGTAACTACGTGAGATGATAGATATGTTAATGTCCTTCACTATAGTAACCATTTTACTATCTATATATATCTCATAACATCATGTTGTAAATTTTATTGTGTACATTTAAAGTTTATTAAAAACAAACAAAATTCACTGGGATAAAAAAAAAACCAGAGCTTGTCTTTATTGGGACTGTTTTATGTGCCAATAGAGCAAAAACAAGACACTTCTGGAAGAGAAATATAACCATGGAAACAACTACAGAGAGCTGGAGCAAGTTACATATAAAAATAAAGTTGATTCACCAAAAATAGTCATTATTTAGGAGTTTTCAGGAGTGAGAAATAGGATGCTCGAGTGGTCTAGAAATTAAATCACCCAATAAGGAAGGACTAACCATTCAGTGATTGGGAGCTATGCGAAAACAACAGCAAAGAGATCTGCAGAATTGGCTACAGCCAAAACAAGAGCAAACAGATCTGCAGAATTAACTTTCCTGAAAATAAGAATGAAGGGTACTCATTTCACTTTTCCTTCTGTTTGATTTATGAGGTGTGCCCCACACTTGCTGAATTACACATTCATTTCTCATTCAATTGAATCACGTTCTGAGCACCAGGCATTCTGCTAACGCTGAGCACAGAGGTAAAAGACACATTAGTACCATACAAAGCACAAGGCTCTGTGATGTTACACACATGTGATGACAGGTGATCAGAGTGTAAGCAGAGCACGAAAAAGGGGCCTCTAACCCTGGCCTGGGAAGAGAGACATGGTAAGAGCAGTCCTCCTGATGGAGCCCATGCGTGAGCTGGGCCTGAGGAATGAGGAGGAGTCAGCCAGCTGCGTGGGCAGAAAGGGGAAGACACGCCAGGGGTGGGGGGCAAATGAGCGCAGAGGGCCTGGTGTAGTAAGGGACTGCTCTCATTTGAAGTGAATGCAGACATATCATTACTGCCATACAACAATACAGTGTGGCAATCAAAAATGATGGACGTTGTAAAGCAACACAGAAAACATATGAAATAATGTTAAGCAATGTATTACAAAATGGACAACTATGTAAAACATATACGTATGGAAAAAGACAAGGAAATATACCAAGTAATTCTGTTTGTAGGGTAGTGGAATTAAAGTTATTTCTTCTTTTCTCTATTTTTAGGTTCTCTGTGGCATCATTCAATTGATTTTATAGTTTAAAAATTATATATGTATACATATACACAAACACACACACAAATATTTCAAAGAAAGTCAACATGGAGAAGTAGAGCACCTTTTCTGTGTGCTGTGAGGTTCCTGTAGTTGAGGGACAGCTGTCCAAATCTCCCGAGAGAGTATCGATGGGGTCTTGGTCATCTGCAGGTTTCTGAGATATTAATAGAAATAACCATCAGAGAAGAAGCACAAAGAAAAATGCTATATGGGGCATTTTCCCACATTGCTTCAAAAGAAAAAAGAAAAAAAAAAAAACAACCTTGCAGACATTCTTTTCCTAACAATAATGTATTGTGACAGAGATGGTAAAACATGAAATCTTGACAGCCTTATTTTCTTCTACTCTTAAAACAAGTTGCTTAGTATTTGCAAAGGGCTTTTCTGAGGCCTTAATGAGAGAAAGTTCACACACACACACACACACACACACACACACTCTCTCTCTCTCTCTCTCTCAAGTGCCTGCCTCGGCACACTACCAAGCACAGGGTAGGCATTCAATGCATTTTAGTTTTTAAAAATGCAAAATAAAAGTACAGCTAGAATAAAACATGTTTTAAAGTGAAAACATGCTACCACAGTATTTACCTCTGATTCCTTCGATTTCTTTGTAGGTGGTTTCACTGGTTTGTCCTTAAAAACAAGACAGTGTTTTTGGTTAAACATAGATCTTTATTTTTGATTTTGTTTAAATATAGATCTTTGTAAAGGTTTTACGTAGGTGTAGTCAGTATTTATAGAATCTATTATCCAATGACTTGGATAAAATAGAGTATAGATTTGCAATAACTGATAAAATTGGGTCCCTACTATTTCTCCACCAGCTTTGCTTAATTACTACCCATATAACCAATTTCAATAGCCTTGAGGGAAAGAGTAAGAAAAGGTCTGGTCCTGGAAGTGAAAGAATCACTAAGGAACTTTCTGCCATCCTGCGTTATAATTTATAATTCTACTTAAAATGTTACAAAAAGTTACTTGTGTTTTTATGTCTTATGTACTGTAGCTTATTACACTTGACAGGGATGTGAAGATTATTTTCAGACAGGATTACAAACACAACTCATCAAGGATTTCTCCATCTTCAAAAGCAAGGGCATTAAATAATACATTTCCCAAAGAGTACAGGCGGAATGAGGTGGTACTATCAAAGTGGGGAGGATTCTAGCAGGATGCAGAAATCTATCTTCAGGAATACAGAGACACTGAGGCTGATAGCACCATTTAACTCAGGGAGTCATCTTACCCACCAAACGAACCAGTACAGAAAGGGAAGGATGTGATTTGGACTTCCTTGTTTTTATTTGATGAACAGGCTTGGAAAGGGTTATTTATCATCGGACTGACTCAAAAGTAGAAGCTGAATAAGGAAGGTTTGGGAGGCAAGCGTGCTGACCTAAGAAAGACTGGCTTCCGCGTTAACAACAGAAGGGCAGGGACTTTTTGACAGACAGGACTTGTGATAGCGAATATCATTTTGCCTGTCTTCACTTTCAGTAGTGCTGGCAATGGTGTAGGAGAAGAAAGGGAGACCCAGGTCTTGGAGTTGGCTTATCATTTGCCTTAGTAATTATTCCAGCACCAGCTCCTTTTCCGCTTTCCTCAAGTAGAGGCTACTTCCTTTGAAATCCCATCTTCTCATTCTTATAGCCTCTTCTTGGAAAGAGTCCTTCTGTGTCCATCTCCTGGAATCACTCTTAAGCATCAATGAGTGACTGAACATTGTTCAACCTTGTTTACACTACAGGGCCCCGCATATGAATATCAAATGATACTGGCTCAACTAAACGTTTACAGAATTCTAGACAGCCTGCTCGTCAGCATTGAGGGCACATTAGAGGCTGTCAGTCACGACATGTCTTTATGCTGCTGTAAAAGAATACAGCTTCTATTCACTTCAAGGGAGGTTTGAATTTAAAAAGCTCTGTAGCATAAACCCAGTCTAGCCATCTGCCTTCGATTACCTGCCCATCATTATCTAGGAGATGTCTGTATTCAGGTGGGATAGTGTCATCTCTTTCTCCAAGTTTGTCTCTGTGTTCAGCTTTGGCTTTTTCCTATAAATAGTGAGCACATATAATTAATATTAATTTCCTATTTCACTTAGAAAATTCTAAAATGAAGCATTTAGCATTGATTGTACTTTTATAAGGTAAAACATATGGTCTGTTTTTATTTTTTAAGGAACAGAACAGCACAGATAACTTCAACTGATTATTAGTTGGTGAAAAAATGTAAACCCATATGCTTCTATATGTCAATCTGTATCTGTGGATTTTTTTTCTGTATTTTAAATTAAAATAAATGATTAAATAATTATCCTCAGAAACCATGTTAGGAGATGAAATCCAAGGGTATAAAATATCTTTTTCTTTTTTTCTTAGGAGTTTCACTTTTCAAATAAAAAAATCAGGCCACTTGGAATTTAGAGAGGTAATATTTACAACTTTGCCTATTTATAAGTAACCCTGAAGGGCCAGGACAATAGCTAGTCTGAATGGCTGTGCTGACTGCTTGTGCTGCAGGTGAGGAAACACCTGCTGTTGGGTAAATGGCACTTATCTCCCAGCATCCCCACCACAGTGAGGCTGGGCTTGTCCCCTTTGTCACAGATTCAGTGACCCTCCCCACCAGTGGAGTACAGATTTATTTTTATGCATTGTTATGATTTAATTTTTCAAATATAGGTTAAGTTCAGGTTAATATTCCTATAAAAACATTAGAATCAAGATCTATGGATTCTTTGAAATGCCCTATCTTTGAGACATTGGTTTGGCTGATCCAACAGTCACTTCTTGGTTCCAAGCTAAGATCCAGACAGCTTAAAAAGGTTGTTAAGTATTGTATATTGCTAATTATAAATAAGCGCTTATAAATATTATACAAAATATGTTCAGTTAACTGTGTGTGTCCTTCTAGACACTCCTCTGCACAGTGCTGAACTCCTGGCCCAATGCTCTCTTTGTTTCAGCATTTGAACTCAGATTCAGTTATGCCTGCAGAGAAGGCTGCTGGGAAAAACTGCCAAACAGATGGCCTCTGCCACTACAAGTACGGAACATGTCAACTTAAAAAACGCACATATGTATGTGTATCGTGTATGTGATGTCCTCACTACCAGATAAGGTCAGGAAAAGTTAAAGTGGGAGAAGAATAAAATTAAGAAAGCACAGCTGTGCTTTTCCAACAGAACAAAGTCTGGTCTCACAAATAGGACATGTGCCTGTGATGGAATCTGTGCCGTAAACATAATCCTTGGTGAAGAAATAAGGAAATGCAACACAGACCACAGACGCAGGAAAAAAAGGAGACTTAAGTTATCCAGCTGTTCACTAACCCCAGACAATGTCAGAAGCGTTTTTTTTTTTTTTTTCCTTTCCTGTGGAGAGTAGGGTATTACATACTATAAAAACCTGAAAATTTCACTTATTAATGGATTTTTTTCTTTTTACCTTTACTTTATCCTCCACTGGTTTGTTCTCATCCGGGTCAGGCTGCCTTTGCCCTAGACTGTCAGAAAGTTTATCCAAGGCATCATCAAGGTCTCTGTCATCCTGCTAAAGAGTAAATAATTCTGTTAGTCACTGGTTGGCCAAACTGTATCAGAGGCAATTCAGCCTAGGAACCTCATTTTTTAGGAGGGACCTGTTTTCTTGGAAGAGAAAGACATCTAGATGTAGGGCAGGGGGCTACACAGGGTCAGAGAAGTGCTGTGAGCAAAAGATCAGGGAGAAAGAGCAGTGACATCTGTCAATCGGATATGGATGGAGGTCTGGCACCTCCAATCCACTCTGCCCATCTCCCTGGTGAAAATCCCACTAGCTTATGGAAGCATTAGTGGCAGTGTCAGAGGCCACACCCCAGTAGGTAATCTAGAGGCTACCTAGAGGATCTAAAAGCAAATGAACCAATCACGTTACTTTCATGTAGAAATTATACATGTTAGAAAACTGGATATGAAAATCCACTGATTTTGTCAGACAGTCAGGAAGCAGGATTTTGCAATAGAAGGTGAGCGTTTCTTTGGTTTTGTGGGTATGCTCTAAGACCAGATACTAAAGGACACATTTCATAAAGTACAGCATGACCAAATGCAGGCTGTGGCAAGCCGTGGAACCCAGTACTGCCAGCCCCAATACTTCCCAGAGCACAAAACCCCAGAGACAATCTGGCGTCACCAAAGCGGAAAGGGCTTCTCTGCCACACTGGGGGTGAAGGGCCTCTAAAGACTTCAGAGAATTTCTGAACTGGTGGAGATTCTCTTTACCTTCAGGAAGCCTATGGAAGCTAAATGAATGGGAGCTGGTATTCTAGAGGGAAAAAAACTATGGCTACTAGAACAATATCAAGGTAACTAAAATAGCTTATTTCTTCTAACGTTTATTTACTGTATGATTCAGGTAAGTCAGTTATTTAACCCCTCTGAGTCTCAGTTTCTTTGGTGTGAAATGTGAATGATAAAAGTACCCATGAGTATACTCATAAGTTTCTGAGAGAATGAATGATCGAAAAGGCATTTAAAACAGTACTTGTATGGTAATACTGGGTAAATTATACATTATTATTAACATTATTACAGAGAAGTCCTAAGAAGTTTTTTTCAAAATATTTTCTAACACAGTACATTCAAAATGTTGACATCCGTCTCTATATGAATTCAATTAAAAAATGTGCTCACTGTCTACACTGTACAAGACACCATGCTGGGCTCTGACCCACACTATGTAGAACTTTCCAGTTGATTACCAAAGTATTTTCATAAACATTATCCAGTTCTATCTGATGCCCACAACGACCTGCTGAGTAAACTAAGCAGGTTTTTTTTTTTTTTTTGTCTTTTGTCTTTTTCCGTGTCCGGCAACGGATCGCAACCCTCAGTGTTGCCCCCGTACCGGACCGGGGACCAGAAACAGGATCGCAACCCTCGGTGTTGCTCCCGCGCCTCGCTCAGCCAGGGAGCAGGAACCGGTCCGTATGTGGGATCCGAACCCTCGGGCGGGAGCGCCGCCGCGCTTCCCAAGCGGCGCACTATCCAGTGTGCCACCGGGCCGGCCCCTAAGCAGGTTTTTTTGAAGGAAGAAAGCAAGGTCAGGGAAGTTAAGTTGGTTGTTTGAAAACATTTTGATAAAAAGTGAATGGAACCCAGTTCTTGGGACTGATAACACAGAGCTTTTCCCCTGTCATGCTCAGTCATATCCATGATCTTCCATTTCCTTCTGAAGAAGCTTTTCCCGTTGGGGTGATTTTCTTATACAGTTCTTTGAAAATGTCTTGAGATGCTTTCAGTGTACATAACACTGCTGGTGACTAATATCGCCAGAAAAGAAAACTCACATAAATTATGACAGGTTAGTTGACTTTGATTCCCAAGTACATATATTCATCTAAATACAGCTCTATACCTAGTTTTAGTGATGTATTCAAATAAAATATTAACTAAAACAAAATTTGCTGATGGAAAAAGTGATGGAGGAAGTGTTATTCTAAAACTTACTAGGAAAGGCAAAAAGGCTTTTGATTGCTGCTGTTTACTAATGCCTCAGTCAGGGCAGAGCCTCTGGCAGCTTGGCTTATTAGTGATTCTCCCTTTCTGTTGCACAGGAACTTTTGTCATTGTGGGTATGCTCACAGCCCCAGCCTCCTTCCCTGCCACACACCCACACCCACACCCACACACGGCATTTTTCTGGTTTAAAGAGCTTCATTAGAGCCCAGGATTATAGCTGCTAATGGTCATGTGACCCACAGCCCAGTCTGAGCTTTGTCATCTGTGCCTCTGGATATTTTCAGATGATCCTGAGGCTGACCCAACAGGATGAAAATCCATCAGAATCTCAGACTATAGCACTAAGCAAGCTTTGATGCTACATCAAAAGAAAAGAAAGCATAGCTGACTTCACTAAAATACTTCACCTCCATGTAGCAAATGAGGCACTGCTCTCAACCAAAGGAGATGGGGATCTGGTTTAAGGCAATCCCTTTATCTTTTGATGTGCTGTGGTCTCCTCGGTAATGTATAACTTGGTACTGCACACATAATTAATCAAGGAAGTCTAAAAAAGCTTTGGTCCCACAGCATTGCCTCAGAACATGTAAATAATTAAAACAATATTGATGCTGAGGTTCTTCTATTGCTAGCATGAAAATTACAAATTTTTACTGGTGCAAATGGGAGAAAAATAATGCTATTCCCTGAAATGCTTGTATATGGTGTTTTTTTTTTTTTTTTTTTTTTTTTTTTTTTTTTTTTTTGAGAAGCTCAAACACTGAGCAACTCCATAAGATAAACTTGAGGTTAAATAATGGGTAGCGAATTACAGCATGTATCCGGAAAAATATAATGAACAAAATTATCAGGAACGCTAATGAATTTTTCAAATCTAGTAATTTGAACACAGACACCATGCACATTACTGCACTTTCAACTCTAATAAAATGACAGTAATATGAAGCTCCTTGATTGTGTGTAACACACTTTCACATATATTGATCTATTTAATGATTTCAAAGATAGTCTCTGCCATCTCCCAAGATGCCAGTCTTAGCTCTTCTGAAGCAGAAGGTACCTCATTTTCCTAATAATTTTGTCTATTTTTATTTGCTCTAAGCAGGTGCTCTATTTTCTTTCTTGTTGCTGTTTCTGCTGGAAAACAAATATTTATCTCCCAAAAAAGATATGTTGCTTACTGCAGTGGCAGGGGGTGGGCCTTCAGAGTAGGTGGTTGAAGCTGGGGTTTGAGAAACCACTTCAGAGATGGCAGCAGAAAGTTTAGCATCTTCGAATTTCTTTTATTAAAAAAGAAAAAGATATTTTCATCAGTAATGTGCTGTATATAAAATTATACCCACAATGCCATCACTTAACATAACTCTTAAGATAGCTTTATGACTGTTTATTCTCTTGATCCAAACAGACTCATAGTAACATATAATCTTAAAGCAATTTTTATTCTACTTCCTTCTCCATAAGTCTTCCTTCTCCATAAATCTTCACGCAATTTCCTGCTTCTATTGCATAGCCATATTTATTATTCTAAATGTTGTTCAATAATGTAATAACTCAGAGTTCCATGGTTTGTTTACACATTTCCTGTTGTATATTTAGGCTACTTGAAATGTTTTAGCTTTTTTAAAAAATCGCTCTATCAAGTTCTAGAAGTGGGTTTCCTTATGGTGCTGGCTGTATATATTCTGCCAAACTGCCCTCTCAAAAGTTGCTAAGAATTCACGCTGCTAAAAGCAAAGAATGAGCACGCCTGTTTTTCCACGGCTTGGCTTGCCAAAATTAGATTTTTATCACATATTTTTATTTCTGCAAATATAATAGGTGTAAAATGATATACTACTCTTGCTTGTATATTGTGGTAGGCAGTATAAGGTTTATTATTTTTTTCTCAGTGTTGAATATTATTACAGAATTTTTCTGAAATGATTTTTTCTCACTTTTTAAAAAATACTAAATCTGTCATTTATGTCCATTTCTCAATAATTTTCATTGAACTATACTATAACTTTGCTTTCTAAATAAGTACTGTATTTTCTATTTATTTTTACTATATGACATATCTCAGTGTTTAGATAATTCAACCTTCCCTAAAAATACTGAAAAGTATTTTTCAAATATATTTTAGAATACTTTTATTGAGTTAGACCAAGTATGTTGTTGCTATTTTAATAAAAAATATAAAAATGACTTGAGAGAATTATCATTCTTTTAAGACATTTACATAAACTGTCTTAGATGTATAGGTTTCAATTTCTTTGTGTCCTTATTTTCCTGATCATTTTTCTTCTTGCAGTTTTCTTTACAAAGTCCGATATATACAGGTTGAGTATCCCTAATTTGAAAATCCAGAATCTGAAACACTCCAAAATATGAAACTTTTTGAGTGCCAACATAACATTCCAAAGAAATGCTCATGGGAGCGTTTTGGATTTCACATTTTCGGATTAGGTATGCTTAACCAGTAGATATCTGCAAATATTCCAAAGTTCAAAAAGAAAAAATCTGAAATCCACAACACTTCTGGTCCCAAGCACTTTGGATAAGGGATACTCAACCTATAATTATATTTTCTAATCTGTTATTAATAATATACACAGCCTATGTAATGTTACCTACAAATGTATTATCTATAAATGGTGATATCTACAAATACATACAAGTGTTCCTATTTAATGTTTGTCATTTCTATTTCATGTGTTATTAATGATGTTCCCATATTAATGTTTAAGGAGAAATGACAATAAAATACACTTTTCTTAGTTTGTTTTATTGGGAAATGCCCCTGGCATGATATTGTCTATTTGATTTTTGAAACTAAATACTCTAACACACTAAGGGATTGCTTAGCTTTTTTTTGGCCTACTTTAAGGTATTTATTTACAACATGAATATATGTACAATTTCAAATATATCTTTTATATGGACATAATTATTTGATTGTTTCTATTTGATATACCACTATACTATATCAACAGTTTTACTGGTACTGAATAAATGTTTATGATAATGGCAAGTAATTACTTTAACAGTCTGTTATATTCTATGTTAGTAACTTTTACATTTACTGATCTAAGTGACTTTAGTTGATATTGCTATATTTGTCAAGTTTTAAGATTAGCACTGTAATTACTTATTAGAAGTAATTATGTAGGACACCTTTTTTCATGACATATTCATGCCACATAGGATCTGAGTGTTAACATTTGAGTATCTTTAAACCTTTTGTGAAAGGGAAGTTTGAGAACAATGTAGTGTCATCCTCAGTCTTTCCTTTGTTTAGGTTCTGTGAATCGTACTGTTTTATATTTTTCTTTAAAAATTCCTTAAAAAATTGTTGTACACAGTGTTTCCTGATAATTTAGTTGTGCTCTTATACTGATTATATTTTCTCACTTTTATATTAAATTTTGTCAGGTTTTTTCCCCTCTATTATATCTGCCAGTGTTTGATAAATTGTTAGACATTCATAAAAAATAACGATTTTTGGCTTTGGACTATCAGTAATTTAGTCGATCTCTTATATTATTATATTGCTGTCACTTTAAAATTTACTTGTATTTATTTGTAAAGTTTTTTTCTCTTTCACATTTGCCAGTATTTCATAAAGTGTCAACACTTTCAAAAGAAACAACTGTTGTCCAGTTAATGCGCATGCTGTTGTTTCATCTCCTACACTTTCTCCTGCTACACTTTCTTTGGGGGGTCGCTTTATTGTAGCTTGTAGAAATTTAAAGTTAAAAGTCAATATACATTTGATGTATCAGGTTTCTATACTGTTGATGAAGGTACTCATGACAATAAATATATCTCATGAGTACTACTTTGGCTGCCTCTCAAAGATTTTTATTTGTAATGTCTTATCCTTGATTTTCTAATAGTCTATTCTGCATTTGATTTCAGTGTTATTAGATAAATATTTTTACATTTTTCTTTTTAAACAGAATTTCTGTTCAATTTTATTGTAATCAAAGAATGTGGTATGTACAGTAGCACTTTTATATTTAAACATAATTATGAGCCAGTATATGATACTTTCCCCCAAAAGTTCTTGGGACATTCCCCCAAATAATTTTCTATTTTGAGTATTTGATTCTTATCATAATCAGTTATTTCTATTTTATTAACTGTATTGTTGACACTAAAAAATTTTCCTTTGCTAAGCTGTTAATTTTCTAAGAGTAGGATTTTTTTTTAAAAAAGAAACTGGGTTCCCTCAAATTAGATAACTCAGACCCCACAAAGAAAGGTTCTGCAGTTATATGTTTGGAACTCTAACAGACTTATACAATATGTTTGCATATAAAAAGTCATGAAAATCCTACAGTAGAGAAACCTACTTAATATCACCCGTCATTGTCCAAACTTTCTAGTAACAGAATTCCCTTAAAGGGACTATTTAACCCACGTGGAGCTAGAGTTACCTTAGAAGGTAATTTGGAAAATGAATAAATCGTGGAAATATCAGCAGGTAAAGCTGTCTGAGAAGTAATTTTGGATAAACTTAAATTCTCTTTTCCTAGGAGTACCTGATATAGCCCATGATTCTTGGCTCAATTAGACTGTTGGAAATATCCATTGTCAGCACAATATTGCATGGTGTAACACATGAATTAATGGTTACAGTGGGTTGGGGGACATTAATTTTGTGATTGTTTCCTCAGCTCCATGTCAGATTCTAAGTCACAAGTTTCCATTTATTTCTGCCATCCTGAAAGTAAAAAAAGAAAACCAGGAGTTTCAGACTTACAAGAGATGAATCTTTCGGGGTTGTGGAGAAGTCCTCAGACAAAGCAGCAAGAAGCAAGTCTTCACCCAAGGGCTGCAAGAACCAGAAAATTTATCAACACACACCACTGTCATTTGTCTCCTCTTCTAAATGATGTCAAAATTTACATACTGATCAACTCATTAAAAGGAAAGTTATGCCCTTCCCAAATTAACAGTCAGGATCAAAAGGAAAAAGATATACTCAGAAAAGCTGCTTTGCTTACTGAAAGTTCCTTGGACTCTTTCGGCAGGAGTGGTTTTCCATCTTTATCCTACCCAGGGGGGAAAAACATGACATTCAATCATTTCACATTTTACCCCAAGTATGAAACCTTGTAAACATTACAAAGGGTTGACAGGTTATACCCGCTCTTTTAAATTAGGTTCATCATTTCAGGAGACAGATTCTCTCAGCAGAGAATATGCTCTAATTAGTTCATGTCAACAAAAAGCACCCATGCACCAGGCATTCCAAGGCCCAGGCCCAGGGGTTGCACAATGGCTTAGGCATGGCTTGTGATCTCAGAAGCCTAGAGACTAGCACAGAAGAAAAACATGTGAACAGTCAGCGGAGTGTGGCATGTGGGAGCTTAACTTGTGGGTGGGACACTCTTAAATTTATGATTCAGATACGTCAAACTTTAAATGACTCTAAATGCCACTTTTGAGAAATGATTCAAAAATCGATAAAGCATTTGGGGCTCTTTAGTAAAAGAAGATCTATAAATTAATGGTAAATCCCATTTCTCCATACACATAAAAATAAAAAAACACAAAGATTTCTCCTGAGAAACTGGTTAAGGTGTTTTTTTGTTTGTTTTGTTTATTTAAAATGTGAAGTGCAGTGAGTTAGATGAGTCACCTGCTTCCCTCATGACTGACATAAACTAAACTCCTTTATCCCCTTCATCTCCCCTGCAGATCACTTGCACTTTCTGACCATTCTTCAGTTAGGAAGGAAAGCAGGACCTGGGCTTGTTCTCAACCATCACTTATCTGCAAAGGCAGCCACTTTCCATAGTGATGCATGGAACCCTGGGGGCACTTTTACTCCACACTCAAATTGAAATTGACTTTCTATCACTGCATCATCGTGTATCTGGAAGGGGCAGCTTGTGGTCTGCCCTCAGGGAGCTGAATCTCACTGAAGAGACCTGGTGTGAGCCTAGCTGATAAATAATAACATAGGATTTAAACAAGAGATGAAGTCGGCACCTGAAAATGCTATAAAGCCGTAGGTAACTATCGTAGGTAACTATAATGTGTGAGATCAACAAGTTCAGAGGAGGATGAAACTACTGCAGAATAAAGTGGTCAGGGAAAGCTAATCAACTGCTTTCTTACACACTACTTCTAAAATTCAGCAAAGGGAGAGTGGAAGTAACCAATCACCTGCTACAGAGTTACCTGCACTTGACCAGTCTCCACTGAAGGGGCGGTCAGTGGAGACAGAACATGTGGCCCTTGAGATGCTAAGAACTTCGTGAAGCAACATATAAACAAGCCCAAATTAATAGAAATGCCATGTTTTTTACTGAAATGTAAAATGCAGAAAGGAAGCAGAATAAAGGTGTGTAGAGTAACAAGCTTTCAATCAGGAAGAGCATGGTATAGTTCCTGTGTCTGCCAAATAAATGGACTAGCGCGTACGGAAAAGTATGAATTTGATGTTCCAGAATTTTTAATGAAGTTTAGTTGAATATTCTTTTAAGCTGTGGCATGCTATGAAGATGACTGACATTTGCTCATTGTCCATGTATCTGCCCTTTTTAAGAGACTGAACTTAAACTACCAGATTCATAATGGGGATCTTTCCCTGTCACTTGTTCTGTGCAATCTGTACTTCCAAAATAAAGGAAATAGGCAACTTATCACATTACTCAATATTAAACAGGCTCTCTTATTAGTTGCAAATTTTTCCTCCTAGGAAATAATTGCTCCTCATTTTGGCTTTCCTATCTACATAAGGTTTTCTATGTTTCTAGTATTATAACAAACCACATATTAGAAGGGAAAATACTAGGCAGTTTGGACATTAGAATTCTTTGCTTAAAGGAGGATCCAAAGGCCACTTAGGGAATAGCTGAGCTTCATATCTGGTGTTCTAACATGATATTAATGGACTAATACTATTTGGTGTTTGAAATATCAAGAAACAAGATCTTTATATTCCAGCTCTGTTCCCATGTTCCTTCTTTATGCACATAAAATTCAGTATAAATTAAAATAAAATAGAAAAATACTCCAGCCTGTTTACCTTGATCTCTTCTAATCTATAATCAGGAGGAATTGTTTCTTCTTTTTCACCAAGTTTTTCACGGTCTTCTTCTTTGGCTTTTTCCTGAAAAAAAGTTGTACATTTTTCAACTGTTAATATATCTTTTTTCGGGCCGGCCCGGTGGCGCACTGTTACAGTGCGCTGCTTGGGAGCGCGGCGGCGCTCCCACCGAGGGTTCAGATCCCACATACAGACCGGTTCCCGCTCACTGGCTGAGCGAGGTGCGGGAGCAACACCGAGGGTTGCGATCCGTTGCTGGACACGGAAAAAGACAAAAAGGAAAAAAAAAAATCTTTTTTCCCATAAAGTGGATGCCTGAGTAAATGTGAGGTAAATAAATGTATCATTAGGTTAAAACATACATATGGCCATAGGTTCAGAGCTCCTACAGCAACTTCATTTTTAACCCTGTATCCTGGTTTAGCAAGCTCAGATACCACCAGAAATCCTGCTGGGCTAAAAGGCAGCAGTAGGCAGCTGCCACTTCTCTCACAAGTCCTCAGCAATGTGGACGCAGGTGGACAAAGCTGAGACTCACAGAACTTTGACACATTCACTCAGGTCAGGCTGCTTAAAAAGGGTATGCACAATAATAGAGATAGCCAACTGGTCAGGCTTTATGAGAAATGTATACAAAAAACCAAATGACTAACTTAAGTATTTTTTTGGGGGGGGATCAATGATAACTATTTTCTAGAAGTATCTGAGTTGCTATTACCTTCATTTTATCCAGCATGGGTTTTCCATCTTCTGGATCTGCTTCCTTTTTCCCCAGGCTACCAGCCAAGGCTTCTACAGCATCATCTGGCACCATGCCCTTCTAAAAGTACATTAGTGGATAAACTAAGTAGGTGGTTAATCACTCCTTTTAAAACAGACTCTACCGAACAATTCGGAAAGGCATATCCTTATTTCAAGCCTAGATAAGAAGCGCATGTCATCTTTTAATAATTTCAGCTATCAATTGAATTAGAATCTCTGTTTAAAAAACTTAAAATAGAGCAGGGTTCTTATACTGAACATTAGGTGTGTGCAACTTATATAGTGATACTGAGAAACTTACAAGCTCTAACCCAGAGTTTTGGTTTAGAAATAAGGCAGTGGAATTAAGTGTACCACAGAGAAGCTGAAAGCCAGGAAAAGGAAAGAAGTAATCTTTACAGAGATAATTTTATGGATGGCAAAAGAAAGATTTTTCAGGAAGTCCATGTCAGCACATTCTTCCCCATTTTCTGTGAGGCACCCAAGCCTGTCTCAGAAGAGGAGACTCGGGTTGAGCTTCCACTGAGGCACAGAAGGGTCAAACTAGATTCACGGCTGGTTCAGGTTACTCTGCCTGTGACCAACTAACCTGAGTGACACAGTGTGAACTGTGTACCTGTGGTCCAGTTGTTCAAAATGAAATGTGGTTCCGCATAATGCAATGAGCTCTGGCTACACTGGTATTCAAAATGAAACTGGATGAACACAGAGCATAAATGGTCTCATGTTTGGGTTAAAAGTTACAACCAGATTTGTCTTTTTTAAACTATAGGTCATATCCATACCTAGTGGTTCATAAAAATCAATTTAATGGTTCACAGCCAAGATTTCCTTTTTAATGAAAAGAATAGAATAGAAAATAGAATTCATTGTACATAAGAGAGTTAAGTACTGTTCATTAAGCTGTTTCATTATGTGGGTACTGGATTGCAAAATCAATGAATTTCCTGCTATGGGTCTTGGGCAAACAAGTGTGAAAGCCCTTGGATTAAAAAGTCTCTGAGTTTACTCTCATCATAAAGTCTCTGACCTCCCATTGAGTATCATTGGAATTTTACAGTAAAAGTGTCTTTCTGTTTTACATATCTTAGCCATTATTCCAAGTAAGAAAAACTGTTTTCTGTTAAGCTGTACTGCAAAAGGAAAGATCACCAGCAAGGAAAAGAAGCCCAAGTGGAAGGTAATTTGTCGCCACCTAGTGGCTGAACATTGCATAGATTTTTACTTCTAGGAGCGACCAAAAAAAACATCCCTGATGTATCTAACATCTTTTGGAGATTATACCTAAATTGCAAGAGTTGCACAGGTACCTAAGTCTTATCCAGGCAATCTGAGTTGCTACCTGATCCAAGACACCTGCCCAAACTTCACTTCTTTCTTCCCATACTCTCTACTGTAGAATCTTTGGAAAATGCTGTTTCCCAAGCCTGCACCCACTGTCAACCACTATTTTAAGAAATTAATAAAACAGAGCTAAAGAAATGCTAAGAGAAAAAGTAGTTTTAAGAACTATGTAATCTGGAAACAGGGCTAAGGACTAACATCCATACTTCTGTAGTGTTTCATGTTGTCAAATTCCAAACTAGAACTCAGGTCTCTGGATTTCCTCAAAAAAACTATCCTTTTATATGCACAAGAACCACCCAGGACACACATTCATCTCCTTCCTCTGTTTCCCTTTACTCACTAATCCTCATGCCTTTCTTGAGTCTTCTGACCCTTCTCACACTCCACAGATATTCTTTCTTGCTCCCAAGGGTGTCATAATCCCAGACATGCCAACTGCCTCAGTAACTGTAACTTGGCAACCATGGCCACAATTGGTGGGGTACAGGCCCAGGGAAGGGGAAAGCAAAATCTTTTTGTCCACTAAAAATCCATCTAATGCCCAACTCTCTACAATCAGGTTAAAGCTTTGAAGAATCTACTTAGCCTTCTAAGGCCCTGGCAGTCACACTTAGTGCCCAAGGTAAATGGTGCAGGTTTTGGTAAAAAGAGTTCTGCCCTGGAATGTTGGCTATTGCCTTTTTTATTCCAATCACTGCCTCTCTTCCTGCTTTCTTCACTGAACTCTTCCTAGGTCCTCTCCTCCTCTCCTGTTCTTTAGCATGGTGGCCTGGTACCCATAATGTAAAAGATACTGAAGAGTTCTCTGAAACCTCTAAAAAGGGGGTGTAGGCCAAGTCCTGTTTAGGAAAGGATGGAGACCCTGGACTCAGAATCTGCAGTTGGCACCAAGGACTTCCCTGGCAGGAGACAGCTACTTCACAGCTCCCATGGCACTTGTGTTACAGCTTCTCCAAGGCCCCCTTTCCTCCAGCAACTGAATGTGCACCTCCCAAGTACACCAAGTGCTTTGCATTTCTGTGCTGGTCTGTCTAGGCTGATTGGTCTCCCAGGAAAATGGTGCTAGTCCCACTTCTCAGTGTGATCCTGCCCTCCACCAGCAAGCCTTTCCTACTTTCCTAACTCCCCCTGGAGAGGGGCTCCTTCACCCATGTTCCCACTGCCCTTTGTCCATATGGGAATGACCAAATTGGACTGCAAGCTTGAGATCTGGCCCATTTCCACACTAGGGTCGAAGGTAGCTAGGGCAGGGGCCGTATCTTTCATCTCAGCTGAGGTTCTGAAATGTTAAGTGGGTTGTTCAAGGTCAATTCAAAGCCTCATTTCCCTCATTTATAAAAGGAACATGGGGCTAGCCAGTTAGCTTGTTGCTTAGAGCATGGTGCTGATATCACCAAGGTCCAGGGTTCAATCTATGTACTGGCCAGAGCCAAAAAGAAAAATACATACAATAGGAACACAATCTGAATAGACTTTATAGTGCCTCTTGTGAAAATTTAATCAGATACTGCAAAGCATCTAGAACGGTGGTATAGCGGATGATGAAAGTTAGCTATTCGGAGTGCAGATTTACTACATATGGAGTAATGAAATATATTTCCATCAGATGCTATTCTCTGAGTCAAATTTTATCATCAGCTAATGGAAACAAAACCCACTGAAATAAAAAATCATCAAAGATCAGCTAGTTAAAAAATCACACTTCATACAAAAATTAGAAAGTGAGAGAGAGGCAGGAAATGAAGAAGGCAAGGGAGAGGAACTGAGTCGATCTCTCCTTTAGTTGGGAAAGTGGGGAGGAATCATAATGATCTTAGTGCAGATTATTCCATCAGGAGAGTCAGTAGAAAGTAACACTGGGCTATCTGTCTAACTCCAAATATGCTTGAAAGATGCAGGAAAGTGAGAAAGCAGGATTATCCACAATAACTGAGAAACTTGAAAGAATTCCAGTATATGAGAGAAAAACACAGTATGCAAGAATTTAATTAAAAATTTAAATCTAACCTGAATTTTTAGCACATTCCTGAAGCCAAAAGAACAATAGGTACTACCGCTATATCAGATTTTATTTTTACTCTGCCAGAATAAAATAATATGATTGTGATACACAGCAAAATGATGGGAGCAAGAACAGAACTTTCTCAGGCATTCTCCATGCCCTGGCACTCACCGCGGTGGCTGGCTTGGGGGGAGCTGACTGTATAGTACACATGGAGGTCCGAGGCACAGCCTCTGCCACGGGAGTTGGGGCAGCAGCCTTAGATTCCTGAGGAAAGAAGCAGGTGCTCTGAATAACGTTAGAAATACATGGTTAACACTGAACAATGATGGACCAACAAGACACTCTGCTGTGTTATATGCCATGAGCACGATTTTCTTGAATGCCTAAGGATTAATGAGTAGCAAATACGTCAAGGTACATCAAAACTCTCCAGCTACCATTATTTCATCCTGGTTTTTTTTTTTCCTTTTTGTCTTTTTTCGTGTCCGGCAACAGACCGCAACCCTCAGTGTCGCGCCCGTACCGGACCGGGACCGGCAACGGGATCGCAACCCTCGGCGCTGCGCCCGCCCCTCGCTCCGCCCGTGTGCGGG